AAGTTAACTAGGTGAACTAATAAGCATAGTTGATAATTAAGAAAAAAAACAAAAGGACTGAGACGTGAGTTTCGAACTCGAGACTCTCGGATGTTAATCCAGCACCAAGCACGTGTGCTACGAGTCATTGTGGTATATTGTTTAGCAAACTTATATTTGTGTAGTTACCCACGTTCGAGAGTTTTTGTTTAAGTTTTATTTGCTTACTCTGTTATTTCCAGAGCTTCATATGATTATTAAGAGTATTGACTACCTTATTACTACGGTTTATGTAATATCCTGTAAAAAAAAAGGTGGATACAAGTCTCCCTATTTCAGTGTTCACCCGGTTTAAAATTTTGGATCTCGAGGAACACACGAATTCATTCGACCAATCAAAAACGTGGAACTAGTTCGAGAGTCTCGTTCAGGTGGTGCGTCGACGCGCCGAAACACAGCTCCAGATTATCACGCGTAGTATTACTATATATACACGACCAATCAAAAACGTGGAACTGCTTCGAGGGCCCTCCGCTAAGGTGGCGCGTCGAAACCAGAGAAAAATTGAGACCACCAAAAACAGGCTCATTGGCAATCTCCCTACTCATCTCTGGTGCAAGAACAGACGAACTGGAACGGATTTCATGCTCACCCGTTACTGTCAATTCAAACTTTGACGTTTGAATCCTAAATGTCAATATTATTTATAAAATTTAATTAAATAATAAAATAACACTGAAACGGACAAAATTGTTACATAAATAAAAATTGAAAAGAAATGTAATAATGCAGGGTGAACAGTGGAAGAAGTTAGAAAAAGTTTTTGGGGGTTATAAACTAATCGCTGCTTTTAAACCTGGATTTTCAACTTGTAGAACAAGGACTAGGTTAACACAAGTAGCATTTGATCTTGCAGAGGAACGATTAGTTACTGTGGACTCGAAAGGGAATGGTTACATCGTAGAACTATCAAATGAATATCCTGTGTATAAGAAATTGGGTCCAGTGGGTTTAAGTTCTTTCATTGCATTTAACCCTTTTCAGAATGATGAAATCTTAGTTGGACTATCTTCAACTGATATAAAAGTCTTTAATCTTAAGAAGAAAAGTTCTTTTTTACTCTCTGGTCACATAAGTGTTCCAAATGAGATTTCATTTTACAAAAATTACGCTTTAACAACATCGTCTAAAGAAGCAATAATATGGGATCTGAAATCCTGCCTCAAAATGCATCAATTAAAGTTACATTCCACAAATATATCTTTGAAAAGATCAGCAGTTTCTACTTTAGGACAAGTGGCAGTCCTTTACAGTAACGATATTATTCAGATTTGGAAGTTTAAAAAATTTGACTCTGATACCAGAGTAGATATGAAATCTTTTGGATTGCACAATGTGAAGGACTTCAACTTTACAAAAGATGGAAAAACTATGATTCTGAGTGCATTCTGGAATAAGATTCTGGTGTTAAGTACAAGTACTTGGAAACCAATAAAAATTATTCAATTACCTGAAAATTTGATTGGAGTAAAGCGAATTGCAATTTTACCAACACCATTGGATGGAGGATCCAATCACATAATAGCAATTTTATCTTCACATATGATTCCCCACTTCTTGGATCTTAATACTTCTTGTTTTATTGATATCTCAATAAAAGAAGTTCAATTGCTCAGTGGTATTAAAAAATTGTGTATATCAATGAGTGGTCTTTATATTGCTTGTATTGAAAACAATGGAGACCTTATTCTCATAAAAACAGAAAAACTATTACCTACGAAAAGTGTTTCTAAGGAATATGTTCAATTGAAAAAAATTGGAAAACGGAAATTAAAACCACATTGCACAGAAGATCATCTTCGAGGAATTCAACAAAGCATAAAAAAGGAATTAAAATTACAAAGACTACTGTCCATCCTGAATGAATTTGGAGAGTATCCAAAAAAACATCGGTCGATTATTTGGACAACTGTTTTGCAGCTTCCTGCAAACAGAAGCGCATATGCAGCACTTGCGAACGAGAATCCGCGGGAACACATAAGAAAGGATATGCTGAAAGATTATCCTTTGTCTGAGCAAAGCAAAGCAAAACTTTTAAACATTACTATTGATTGTTTAGTGAATTGGTGTCCTTTGCTTGGACAAAATTTATTTCTTCCACGGCTTGTTTTTCCCTTTCTTGTTGTCTTTCAGGTAATTGTGGAGACTATAATAAAAAAGAACCTTACAACTGTTAATAGACAGGGGTACAATTTTCATTTATCACTGAATTTCTTTAAACTTGCTACATGGTATCATTAGAGAAATAAAACCAAATTCTCGCTCCTAATATAACATTGCTTTTATATAATTTACTGATATGATATTGATTTATTTGACAAACTTACCAAATAAGATTTCTGACTAATATTCGTAGCGTTCAAAATATTCTTGTTCTATTTGCAGCAGAACCCCATTCTTGCTTTTGAAGCAGTTCTTTGCGTTTTATGTAACTATTGTCAAAAGTGGTTTGAATATTATCCTTTACCTCCACTGAATGTATTGGGAATTGTCGAAAATATTCTTTTGGAAGCTGATCCTGCATTATTAAATGTCCTTTGTGAGAAGGGAATAACTTCTACAGAATATGCTTGGCCTTTACTTCAAACGACTTTAAGCGAAGTTTTGTCTGGCGATGAATGGATGATATTATGGGATCATTTATGGTCTTATGGCAGAATTTCCCTTTTACTCATGTGCGTTGTTGCATACAACATTTGCTGCCGAGAAATAATAATTTCCATTCTGAAGACACCTGAAGATTTTAAAAAGTTATATACAACACAAGGACATATAAGTGTCAAAAACTTATTGGAAATTGCTAAAAGATTGGATCATCAGACTCCATTTCGAATACACCCAAGTCGATATTTCAGGTATTTACATGTAATTAATTTTATTCATTAATAAAACAGTGATTTTGGGTGTAGTAATAAAATATTGCTAATATATGATTATTTTAGAAATAAATTATGTTTTTTACCAACTGAAGGACCATACCCACCCTTTCTAATGCAAGAATATCCGAAATTTCTTACTGACGAGACTCGTATTGCCAAATTTGAAAGACTGAAAGAACAGAATCAGGTTCTAAAGAAACATCAGCAGCACATTCTGAAAGAGTCAGAAGAAAAAAGGATACATGTTGAAGCAGAAAATTTAAGAAAACAAATTCATGAAGCCAGATTAAATGGTAAATATGTTTCTTAATGTACAAGTTGAATTAAAAAGTACATAGAAATATATCGTACGTACTTGCATATGATTTGGATAAGTAACTTGTACTTCCTATTTTCAGAATTACGTAAATGTTATGATGAAAAAATAAGAAATGAGGAATGGCAATTAGAAACCGCTTGGAATATTGTGGATAAAAATTCTATGTCTAGGTACGAATGTACTTGCAAAGAATCGCTCAATGCTGCCAAGGTGAATGATAAGACAGACAGCGAGAAAAGCGATGCATGGAATAGGAGAAAATGTGAAGAATTGCAGGACGAAGTTGAAAAACTAGAACATGAAGTACACACATTATTAGAAACTGTATAATTATTGTTTGATAATTGATACTACATTTCGTATTGTCAAAATCCTAAAAATTGGAATGATATTTCGGTTTTACTCGACATGTGTACAATATAATTGCACTAAAAATAAATATATTGTTTAAAATATGTTTGGAATATGTTGCATATAAAAGTTTTTTGTAATATCGAATGTTTTCAAATAAAACCTTAGAGTGAACTGTACGTCTTTTGATTGAGACTTAGTATACCATAGATATCAAGGACAACATATTTTATAGATCCAGTTATAATGGATTATCACAGAAATTGTAATATCTACTTTTGTAAACAATAGTTTCCTATTTACATATAAAATCTTGCTGTATAATAAATGCCTTTAAAAAATATGAAAAATATTATGATAGAACAATTGGTATAAATTTGTTGCAAGATGTATTAGTTGTACTCAATGAAAGAATATACCGGAGCATCAACTTTTGATCTACCATCCAGATTTTTTAGTTCCATTATTACAAGACATTCAACTACCTCTGCATGCAGAGTTTTCAGTAACTTTACAGCAGCAGCCATTGTGCCTGTAAAAATTAAACAATCGTAAGGCATCATCGGTAAGGTGTCATTATAAAAAAACTCAATGCCATATCATGTTAAGAAAAATATTAAATATGGTAAATTTGAATATATAAAATTTCATTAGACGACCTTACCTCCTGAAGCCAGCAAATCATCAACAATGAGTACTCTCTTTTCCTCGCTAATACTATTCGTTTGGATTTCAAAGTAATCCTGTAAAAGAAGATACAATTAATCAATAACAGTACTTCTGTAATTACTAATATTAGAATACCTGTATCTCTATGATTTTAGTCTAATAAAATATTAATTTATACATAGAAACCCAAAAAAAATCCAAAACATATACATACCTCTCCATATTCCAAGACAAAAGATTGTTGTAAAACATGTCCAGGCAGTTTGCCTTTCTTACGAATAGGAACAAACGGTTTACCTAACTCTAGACTAATCAGAGGACCAAATAGAAATCCTCTCGAGTCTAGGCCAACAATTATATCTACTTCCAGAAACATAACATGTTCTACGATCAAGTCTCTCAAAGCTCTGAAAGCCACAACATTTTGACAAACACCAAATATGTCTCTGGAAAGTAGTAAAATGAAATAAATAACTTAAATAATCTTTATAGAAAAATATATATTCTATATACTACCTACCGAAAAATAATCCCAGGCTTTGGAAAGTCAGAATAAGTTCCAATAGCATTTTCCACAATTTTTAACTTCTCTCGTTTCTCCATTTTTCTAATCGTTTTAATAATGTTTTAATTTCTTTATTACGTAAAGAGCTTATCGGCTTATTACTATTATACAATTTCTCTATAATCTTGTTGCAAAGTACAAACATAAGTAATCAATTTTTAATTGCACAACACGAAACCATGTGGAACATTTCGCACTCATTTTCAAGTTTAAGTGAATCCAGCCAATCACATGCAAGGTTTAAAAAGGAATCAAAATGCACTGCCAATAATCGTAAGCAATGGCGTACATTCTATATATGGGTACACATATTTACGTATGCTAGCAACAAAATTGCATATCAAAGAAATTCAAAGAAATCAACATGACATTATTCTTATTAATCCAAAAGTTGTCTAATGTAAAAAAAGATATCATTTAGGCATCTTAAAAATTAATTTAATAGAATTTTCATATTTAGTATGATACGAAAAGTGAATAAGAGCTGACCAATCATGTACTGGATTCTAAAGAAAGCAAGTAAGCGGCTGATAGCTATAATTTTATGAAATAAAGTTTGGTCGGGTACTGTACCCAGTAGTCCCAATAGTTCTTGAGGAGTTGTATAGTTCTTGATAGGTTTTAACAATAGTTCTGCTACGTAACATCGTTAAAATATCTATTAAGGATACTAGTCGCAGCATATGCTTCAGTGCAGGTATGCATAATGAGCTGGCTTTCAGTGTTGTTTTCAGGTTGTGTTTCAAACAGTTCCGGAATAGTTCTCTCTAGTACTCAATGTTGGGACCATAGTTCCGCCTGGAATTATTATTAAATAATGATGGAAGTTAGCAGCGCATCGCTGCACTCCTTAACGCAGGCGGCCATGAGGTGCTGGCTTTTCTCTTACAAGGAAACCCCCCCAACCCGACCCCACCGATTTCAATAATTTTTTGATATGTTGTAGTACTCGACAAAATAAGAGACACGTATTTTTTTTTTGTGCTGACATCCACTTTAAAGGGGTGAATTCGACCTCTGAAATTCACCCCTTTAAAGTGGATGTCAGCACAAAAAAAAAATACGTGTCTCTTATTTTGTCGAGTACTACAACATATCACACTTGGTTTTATTAAAAAATATTAATTAGAAGTCGAGATATGATAAAAAAACGATTTTCGGGGGTGAATTTCAGAGGTCGAATTCACCCCTTTAAAGTGGATGTCAGCACAAAAAAAAAATACGTGTCTCTTATTTTGTCGAGTACTACAACATATCAAAAAATGATTGAAATCGGTGGAGTCGGGTTGGGGGGGTTTCCTTGTTAGTAAATCTTGTCGAGCTTACACTATGCACTCGAATTTAAGATTATAAAAAAAAATATTTAGGTAATATCTGATGAGCGGCCTCGTTCTAAGAGTTTGTCTGGGAATCAGCGGTATGTCGTGGAGAACCCCTGCCGGCTAGACTACACGTTCGTGACCACGTTCAACTCGGCTATGACGGTATATGCATTATCGACGGAGGCGATGATCACAAAATCCTACTCCCGGTCTCGCCGCTCCGATTTAGAATCATGTTTTTAGTATCGTTTAAAACCGTAGCGTTGTACATCTCCCTACTCATCTCTGCTGTACCTAGTTATTTTATAAGCAGCAATTTGGCGTCGATAAATATTCAAAACGATCTACGACTAATAACAATAAAAAATGGCGGGAGTAAAAATATTTAAAAGAGTCAAACATTTAATAATCGCTGTTATAGAATATTTTTACATCCAACAATTGCAAATGACGCTTAAACGTTATTAACTAGAATACTATTTATATACAAATGGCAGATATATATTTATATTTATATATATATATATATATATATGTCGTTCCTCTGGTTACTTCACAATAAACAATACAGTATATGCTTCGGTTAAGACAATGGTTTGTAAATTTTGTATAGCCGAATACAGCAATTAAAAAATCTATCGTAAAATATGTTGACAAACAGTATGCAAAATATATTGTTTATTAGGCAAGGCACGTCTATTTTAAGTGTCATACAGGCGCGTACGTACACATCACTCATACATGCATTCATACACACAGTGTCTATATAATCCTTGATACAGGAATCTCGATTTTTCACAGCTATCGTGAGTTTCGAGAACTAGTTAAAAAAGTCTTTTTTACCTAAATTCTTTTAGAGTACTCGTAGAAGCTTTTAAAACAGCTTCTCCATATGCGTATACTTATTAACACATGTAAATTTTTCGCATACGGAGTTCACGCGATAATAAAAAAGGAAATATTGAATAAATACTCAGCGAACATGAAACATCTCGAAACAGATAAATATATAACACTCGAAACTTGAAAATACCTTAAGTAAGTACGACGAGAAGAAAGCGTGACAGACACAATAACAATATGGCATCGCTTATTAGTCTTAAAATCCGTCCTTTTTAAAAAAAATGACTGTTAGCATAAGGTATCCTTGACCGGATAAACCTCTATTATAGATTACGATACGAGGAAATTTGGTTTCTCGTCAAAGACACATAACGCGCATAACGTGATTGTCTTAACAAAAATATGGCTGACAAATCAGATGGCAAATTAGACTTTAGTCGTGGCCAAAAGTTTAATATAATGTGCTTTATGAGTGATCTCAAACTCCTGAGCAGGTAGAAAACATTGCGTTTGAATTCTCGGTTGCCGTAATCTCTTTATCACGCTATGACCTATCAGAACAACGGTAATCAGTACAGCGCATGATACGGCAGCGGCAGCCAAAATTATAACTTCCATATTCTGTCGGAAGGCTTGAACCTCAACACATTTCGTTTTGTCCATTTCAGACTTTCCAAGATTTGTATTGGCATTGTATAAGCTAGCGCAGACTTTGTATCGACCTGGCAAGAGATCAGCTACAGTTACAAAGGCTTCCGGGGAGCAGATTAATTTTTTCCTATGCACGAGTGACTCCATGGAAAAGACTGCCACCGAAAGTTCACAGTCTGTTGACTTGCCTGTTAGATGCGCAAGAGTTAGATCGACCTGAAGAAAACCTTGGTCAGAAATATTAACACGAATGCCAGTGATTTCTGTTTGAGAAGTCCTAGAAGTCGTCGAAGTAGCAATGGACTCTTGTATCTTTTTGTCTTCCTCTAGGGTGATGACTTCACTGCATCCTAAACCCAAATCAGAAGGCACTTCGTCGTATTCGGTAGGCACCAAAAGGACAACGCAGTATCGATATTTGTGCTTGGGCTGAAGCCCTAAAGACGAGGAAATGGCTACAGGAAGTGTGCAAGGATCTTGCATCAACGTGGAGTCGCATTGAAGAGGACTAGATTGAATCTCGACATCTGCGTTCCCAATTATTTCATAAACTTTCAAAGTATCACACGTGTATCTTTCTAAGCATGGCTCCACGTGCCACATCAAATTAACGCCTGCTGCTTCGTTGTACTTGAATTCTTGTAAGATTAATTGCGCTACCGTTAATGGGACCCTCGGTATTATAGTTGGCGTTGGTTCACCGCAGAGTAAACTATCTGGTGATACTTGGGTGAGTATTCCATTTTCTAATGTTGGCGGAGTAGCGCATACTGCTGATGCTTTGTCCTCTTCGTCTAGACTGGAATTACTTAACCAGTTGGCGAATTCCAAGAGCGTGCAGTCACAATTCAATGGATTGTCTGAGAGTGATAGACGCTTTAAACGAAGTTTGGATGTGGGAACATCATTGGCTACCATTGTGATATCATTATCATCCAGACGAAGATCCTCCAGGCTCTTGAGTGGTACTACCAGGTCAGCCGTTAGCGATCTTAGGAAATTATGCGTCAAATCGAGAGTAGTCAATTTTTCTAAATGCGCCAAGGATGCACTGGAGACGGCAACAATTCTGTTATTTGCCAAATCTAGTCTGGTTAATGTTGACAAGTGTTTGAAGCAATGGTCTTCTAGAACATCAATCTAATAAAACAAATTTAAATAATCATTAGATTTCATATTATGTCCATGGTAATATGATTGTTTTTCTTTTAAATCACATTCTATATATTCATTTTAAGTCTCTTGTTGATTATATTATTAGAACAAAAATAAATATTTCTATCATGATAACACGTTACCTGGTTGTGACTGAGCTTGAGATAAGTCAAGTTTCGAACTCCATTGAGAGCGCCTTGCTGAACATTTATCAGCCCATTTTGGGATACCGTGAGAAAGCGAAGTTTGGGCATATGTGGGAGTAGTGTAGGCCCCATGGGCCCGATCAGTACATTACTTGAGAGATCAAGCTCCTCCAGGTTTTTCAGGCCCCTCAGAGCTGGTAGAGCAGAAACACTTAGACGATTCCCTCGCATTTTCAATGACTGTAAAGCCGGTAATGCAGCAAAAGCTTGTGGTGAGAGTTGAGACATTAAATTGTCACATAGATCCAGATGAGTCAAATTTATTAAACCCTGAAATGAAATAACTGTTCTAAGGTTTTCTTTCATTGTAACTGGTGAAGTTTAATCAAAGAAGACAACGTAGCATTATGAGACGTATATTAATTCAGGCATATTGAATTCTAAAAAAAAATATATCAAAATATCTTACTAAGACGATGCTACTTCACAGTTCAGATTCTGGTAATATTAAAAATGAATGATTACCTTGAAAGAGTTAGCCTCCAGAGTTTTCAGCTGGTTACCAGACAAATCTAGTCTTTCTAATCCAATAAGATGTTCCAAGGCAGCAGTGGGAACGGAATCCAGACGGTTGTTTGGTAACCCAAGAGCTTGTAAGGGTCTTGCGAGGGCGATAAAAGCATTTTCATTAACTTTTAACAACTCCCCGGTAGAAATAACGAGACCACGAAGTGCCACGTCCTCTAGAAAATATGCAGGAAGTATAGATATTCCTGTGACAGATATGTCCAAAAGAGATATCATTCCAGCTCGACTGCTTTTAAGGTGCTGGCTGATAGCCTGTAAAATACAAAAATTGACCTCTTTACTTTAATTTCAATGTATCAAAGAAATCCTGAGCAATCTCTAATTACCCATAATATACATCCACTAAGAAATACGAAGTTGAATAAAAATAACATTACAATATAATATGTAAAGTCACAATAATAAAACTATCTCTTCCGCGTCAGTATCTAATGAGTGTCGTGTCAAACTTAAACAAAACGTAATAAAAAAAACATTTTTCAGCTCACAAGTCATCTTTGTTACCTACGCATATAAATATATGTATATTTAGATAAATGTATGCCTGCCAAATCAGGAGATTCAGTCAACTTGTACGTAAAGTATTATAGCTGCAGACTGAAGTTCTCATATATTTACTCCTAACTAGCAGTGACTCTGGTGAAGATTTAAAAACATACCAAGCATTTGGCATGTATTTAATAACTTGACTTATTTTAAATAATGAATTACCTGAAGCGCCGTGCGGTCGCCCGTACATCGGAGCGTATGCGGAAAGTCACAAGAACAGTCTACGGCAACATTGGTAATATTAGGGCATTCCCAAAATGTGTTTTTTACTTCGAAAAATTCATTCCGCTCGTTTACATTGGACGAAAAATTCGCCTGAACTGTAGTGAGTGTAATTGCAGTCGTCGCATCCGTTTTAAATGAGGTTTCGCCTATATCTGGCGCCAGTGTCAACAGCGTTGATGATGCAGGCGATGATGTTGATCTGGACGTTGATATTGATAACGCTTCCAATGACGTCGGCGATGACGTCGTGGAGGATACTGTCGACGTCACTGAAGCTATCTTGGCGATGTCTTCCGGATCTGTCAGATCTTCTGCATCGTGAAAAGCAAACGCCGCGAACAGCATTGCCAGAGCAAGAAGAGTTCGAGAGATTCTCGGCATTCTGAAAAGATAATTTTTATTTTGGTTTATCATTTTTTTTAACGTCCAACAAAATATCTACAATATCTTATATCTTTAATTTGACACATGGTACATTCGAAGTAATAATGACAATAGTACTTGATACGTATACACTGTATACGTATACTATACATATGTATATGTATACTATACATATACTACATTTTGACACGGGGTAAACTTCACAGCAGATATGATGCAAATTTTTAGATAGCACCTCAAAAAAAGTAATCACTGCTGCGACTGCATAACCATATTAAAATTTTCACAAAAAAATCTAAATTACATTAATGTCTCACGCCCATTATTCGAAATTATGGCTCGTAACGAGAAAAGACGCAGAGAAGCTCTTAAAATTGGACGAAACCATTGGAAATTTGAAATCTTGGAAATCCAAGGAAGATTGCTTGAATAAAATTCTGCCAATGTACCTCAAGTAAGTTTATAGTGTTTTTTAAATAATTAAATAAGCTCAAAGAATTTTTCTAACAGATATCGTAATTTGGTCAAACGTCTGATGGTCTGTTACAATCAAATGGTTCAACCCCAAAAGCGTGACTTAATTAAACAAGTGTTAAACTGTGCAATTGGTCGTATGCTCGAATATAAACGTGAGATCGTAAAATTGGAATGTTCTGATTACGTGTGAGTCCTTATCTGTGTAATCAACGTCAAAGATATATTTTGTAATTAAAATTATATATAATTTTTCGTTAGGTGGCCTGACAATTTTTTAATTGAAATGAAATTTACGCAAGATGACGTTGACATTTTATCCCGGTCGTATTACGCAACTGATCGAACTAGAGAGTTGGAGGAAAGGAGAAAATATATTAACGATCTGATCGACAGTGCTAACAAACGTTAGTTATGATTATGACGTAATAAAAATAATTATTCCATTAAAATCATTCAAAATTTTTGCTAAACCCTCGCTTCTTACTGTTGGGTCTGAGGCACCTAGCAAACGTGTTAAACCTGATAAAAGTTTAAAACCAGTCAAAAGCCAGGAACGATATTTCGAATGTTAAAAAATTTTTTTTTTTTCAAAAACAGCACCAGAATCAATAATCATTGAAACTCATATAATCGAACAAACAATGCCAAGTGCCATTGACGTAAGAAATACCAGTTCACCGATTAAAGTCACAAAAGCTCGAAAAGTAAAAACTGGAGAACCTTCAAGGATGCAAATTTCGCTCGAATCGGAAGAACATAAGAAAGCACGGGAAGCTAGAGAAGCAATGGCAAAACTATGGAAAAGCACCATAACACTGATTCAAAGTCACGAACGAGCAAGATCTGCCCGCTGTATCGGAGAACGAGGTTATTTCTTCTCTTAGTATTTACACTATGAAATTCCGCACAGCCATTAAATTGTAACTTCGTAAGCCTAAAGTCATCGCGCAGTAATCCTATATCGGCAGTAACGATCATTATGAACCAAATTCAAATTAATTATTGCTGGTTAAATGAACACGGCAACAAGGCTATCATACGAGAAATAACAATTCGAAAGAGGCTACCATTTGTCTAATGGAGATTTTATGATTTCTATGAGAACCATAAGTATACGCTTTAACGAGCGTCTCTCAATAATTCGCTTTGACAGCCGTAACGCCATAACTCTCATGGAGAATAAGTAGCACAGTTGTACAGTTCATCTTAAATACTATGCCCGAAGACTTTACGAATCGCATTGACATTTTGGTATACGATCTAGTAAAAATTTGCAATTTGCTAATAATACTAAATTATTTTCGAAAAAAACTTTGTCCGCTGATAACGTTTTATTAAATTAAATATATATATATATACATAGAATTATCAGTGAACAACCTATAACCTCTATTTATTACTTTTGATTGATCGACAGCCAGAAAACAGTATATACGTAACATAAAACTGAATCAGGGTCAAACGGAATTGAAGAAGCCCGAGAAAAGCGCAAGAAAACAAGCGGCCATGATTATTCAAAGGACATGGCGTCGTTACCGAGCTCGGGAAGCTTTGCGAAAACGAGCCGACCGTGTCGAAGAATTGCTAGACATGAAAATACCATCGTGGAGAAATCGCGAAGTTTTTGAGAAGGACGAAGCCAATTATCGTCGTATACAAAACCTGCAGCCGGAAGCCGTATGGCATTTGGAAGAGAGAACAGATGAGGAAAGTGCGAGGGTAAGTATTTTTTGTTATTACGATCGTGATACGCTATCCAGACTAATATTTCGAAAGGTTCGAAAAGATCTATTTTAAAACTATCATTGTAGAGTTTCGATTGCTATAATTAATCATGATACGATATACGAACGTTAGATCCATATTTGTATAATTTATCCTGAAACGCGTAGTAAGTTCGGTACACGAAGGACTCTGGACATGGGTGTGGTGCAACGATGGATTCGTAGGCGTAGTTTTACGATATTGTTTCTTCAACGAGAGATAATTGAGGTTATGCAGACACAGTAGAAAAAAATTCCTTATAAAATCCATGATATTTGACCAGAGGGGAGGGGGGGTTGTTGCAGTTGCGTAATTCGAACGAAACTAATGAAATTCACATAGATTATTTATTCGACAACGATCCAGCGGAGCTCAACGAAGTCGTCAACTTTTTAATTAACGTATTTATTTAATTAGTCCAATTTTCTGTGATGCACCTTGACGCATCGCCGGGCGATTATCGATATTCGTCCGACGTATCGAGAAGGGGCAGCGTTTAATTAATTAAGAATAGCCAGACTCCTAAAAAGTAGCAATCGCGATGGGGAATGAAAAAGATAGGAACAAAAGATACCGTCCAATTGAAATACCCTATATACTTGTTATAGTGTCTATAGAAGAACGTCATTCCTTGATATCCGATTAATATTCCGTCCACTATTGGTCTTGGTTTAATTGACCCACTGTCATTTCATAAGGTGCACGCAATTAAAGCAGCTGGACTGATGGAGGACATTACGGATGAGATACGCGAATGGTTCATTTTATGGTACAATGAACTTGGATACTTTGACATATTTCCAGTAGCCACTGCGGGTGGTTCGATTCTGGTAGCAACCGGGCAGACCCTCACGCCGGAGGAGTATCTCCTTGAGAAATTGCAGAAGGCTAAGAAAAAAGAGAAATCAAAAGGAAATCAAAAAACAAAGGAGGAATCGGATGAAAATAAAAAATTAGCTAATAAAAAAAAAGGAAAATCCAAGACCGACCAGGCGAAGAGTCAACAATTGAGTACCTCCGAGTCTAAGGCTTTTCCAGGCCTCTTGCAGGCGAATAACGATTTTCATCATTACTGGGAATTCCGGGACGAGTCGAGTAATCCAAAGCAGAGGGAGTACCTTGATCTTATCACTGAAAAACTCTGCTACGAGCTTCAATTGGAAATGCGTGAAATTGTTGATGAACTCATGAGAGCAGAATTAGAGAAATTGAAAGAGGCGCTGATGAAAGATCATGCTGATGACAAAGTCAAACTCGACGCACCTACGGCTGTGAAAGGTATTGGATTTTCAAGGATTTGTTTATAAATATTTCAACAGACTCTACTTTACTAAATATATTTCTAAATATATTTTTAGCGGGCAAAATGAAGAAGAAGAAAAAAGAGAAAAAGGACCCGCTTGGTAATATGGCGCCGGAGGACATTTTCTTTGAACTGGCACGAAATCGAATAATTCGAAGTCAGTCTGTGGTGCGACTGAAAGAGTGGATAGGGGATTTATCGTATCAAAATTATGAAGCTCGTCAGGAATTACGTGAATATCGACATCGTCTTGGGGAAGTCAAAGAATCGGTAATAGATTACTGTATCCTACCGCTTCTTTCTAAAGAATCACATCAAGTGGCACCCCTCGTACGTTCCATCTGTATCTGCGGTTTGCCGCGACACGGCAAGGGAATGTTAGCAGACGCCATTTTTACCGAGGTCGGAGCTTTGGTTCTCGATCTCAGTCCTGAAACTCTACTTAATAAATACCTAGGCAAGAAGGAACAAAACAGACTTATGAATATGGTGAACAAAGTAGCGAGGAGCTACGCGCCGTCTGTTATATTTGTCAAGGGCGGCGAGAGGCCATGGCTGAAAAAAGTTCCACGCGAACTTAGGTACTTGCAGCCAAAAAGATTAGCTGCGTTGTTTACTAAATTCATTAAAGGAATCAAATCCGGTGATCGAGTAAGTTTGTATTGCAATGCCTTAAATATTCTTTTATAGCATAATTATTAAAGTAACAGCATTATATCCACATTGAAAAATTATTCTTACGCTTTAAACACATTTCATGCTATGATTATAATACATCATTTTTATTTGCAGATTTTATTTCTCAGTACGTCATCCGAACCCTATAAAGCCAGTAAAAAATTTGTAAAAATTCACGAAAAAGTTATATTGATACCAGTGACCGACTACAATACGTTGTATATGTTCTATAAAGAATTATTAATGAAGTATCATGGAGTAGATAGGAACTTGGATGTATCGTGTTTAGCAAAATTATCGGTTGGTCTACCGCTCGAATTTATACGGCAAACGGTCGAAAATGTTGTTGGCATCAGAAGAAGAATTACGTTAAAGTTCAAACCGTTGCAACAGCGAGAGATTATGGAGGAATTACTGTCGTACGATAGTCCAGGACCAAAGATCCTTGAACAATATAGAAAGTTTGAAAAAACGATCCCACTCGAAAAGGAGAGACTTAAAATGTTGGCGAACGAGCGTGAGTTACGTGAAAAGATAAATTCACCGAAGAAAAAAAAGAAAAAATGATCGTCAGTCAATCAATGTGAAAGTTCGATAGACGATACAGAAAAGAACAAAAAAATGTTAATATCAATACCGATTGCGGCCAATTAGTCATACCCTCCTATGAAGAAAAATGATTATCGTTAATCATTACTCGTTTATAAATGATCTATTATAAATCACCGATCGATCAGTTTAATGCGGATAGATCTTTCATAATAATTTTCAATGTCATGAGAATCAGTATCTCGGTACGTGAGTTATATTCTTGCGCGGCAAATAAATGAAGCTAAAGAAAGGAGCTATTTGGTGAAGAGACCACGAATGAGGATTGAATGAAGAAAATGGCGGCCGGTATTCATACGAAACCAAGTTCCTTTGACGTTTCGCTATTGGAACTCAACAGAATTATGAGGAATGTAGCGAGCAAAGAACAGAACGATCGACGAACTTGATCGAGCAGTGAGCTGGACAAGTTGCCGTCGTTTTGTTCAACTTGTTTCTACAGACTCGAGACTATAATGGCGATTACTCTCCACTTCCTTTAACGATTCATTGGTCTGATGATTTTTCATGTTTTCTTTTCATTCTTCTTTCGAGAAATCCATTTACAGTCGCGGCAGTGATATCTACGATATATTTATCATAAATAATAATTGTAATTCAATTATAACAATTAAACAGTGTAAAAAAGAAGTAAAAGAATTGGATTATTATTTGCACGCAGAGAAAGCAATAATAAAGGGGGTAGACATTTTTCTTTCACATGTATACTCACCAGAACTAAATTGTATTGATATTTAAGTCCGGATTGAAGATCTGACAGAGTGCTATTATTCAAGTGAAATATTTAACGAACCTGCGTAATTGTTATTAGGCCGTTGTTTGAGAGTTAACGATCTACGAAGAAAATGAAATGCCTTGTACAGCTTGAAGGAGATGCGAATAAGTAGCGGAGAAGCACAATGGCCAATGCCGCAAGTGTAAAAAAGCTGGGCTTAAATAATAAGCAACTTGGACTGGCGTACAAATGAGATTCTGCTGTATCTGCTTACGACCAGAGGCTTGTCTTCAACGTTGAATTCTTTAATGGCTAAAAGTTTTATTTACCAAAGCCCATTACCGGAATAAAATAACAATAAAACAAGGATTTTATTAGCGACGTTAGAATATCATTTCATTTGTGAAAGAAAATTGAAGGATAGACACTACAATCCATTGGATTAGACATTATAATAAAAATGTTAGGCGTTTCATTGACTTACATCTTTTCATTGAAGCTCGTGTATGGATTATGATAATTAAAATATGACTAAGACCAGCTTTGTTAACTACGATTAAAAAATGTTATCTTCCATTAGCCAAGTGCATACACAATGAGAATATGATGCAAATACCAAGCAACCGCATTCTGCCATTAGTTAGTTCGAGTGAGAGACTTATGAATGAACTGCCAAAGGAAAATAGAAAAGTGTCAATATGTTTTTGCAAAATATTGTAAAACCGACGTATCTAGCCTGACTGTATATCAATGATAATCTCGATCAAAGAGACCGGTTTCACGTGTTCAAGTATTTAAATGAAGGCGGTGGGCGAGCAAGTGCGTAAGCGAGTATGAAACCGATATTAATATAAGTAAAATAGTAAGTATAGGAAAATATATCTACGTTATTATTAGTACGTACCTACACAGAATCTCTGTTCTTCTAGACTTGCTCGAGATGTCTTCTCCTCGTGCGTTTCCACGCACAAACAATACACAGGCAGTCCAACGTGCCGAGCAGTCGTGCAGTCCAATCGATCCAAGTGTCACAGACACACAGTATCCACGTATTACGCGAGTCAACGAGTCAAATAGATACACCAATGCTTCTATAAAACTAGTTGACAACGACTATAAACTAAAAGTCAAGATGTACGATCCCATGATAAACAGTCCCCAGCCCGAATCGTCAACTGACAAAAAGTCTTATCCACGAATTATCGTAATAAAAGAAATGTGTATCACGCAATGGAATACAAACTTCTACGAACCCGCCAAATGGCACACGCACGCGCGAACGGGCTTCCACACAGGTAGGTAGCTGGAGCCGATGGTGCGGCAGGAGGCAGAGGAGTTAACCAAGGAGGGATCAGCGACGCACGACGTCGGCGAAGAATCGCACTAACACAACCAGCACCAATCGCATTGACGCACTGTCGCAAACGCACCAATCCGCAAATCACGGACGGAGCCTGCTGCTCCCACGTTTGTTCCGTCGCGTTAGCATTTTGCGCCAACTTGATATCTTTCCGTCTCTCTTCGTTTTCTGACTCCTCCGCTCTTCTCCACTGTTTTACCCTCGGCTGTCGTCGAACGAGTTTTCCAAATTTTCCTCAGAATTTCATGCCGATCACAGCGCCCTTTTTACGAGCAATATATTTTGAACGAGCACCGCGCATGACAGAATCCTTCGAGAACGGAGAAGAGTGTACGCGGTGCTCCCTGCACTGGCATGGGGACTCGTATGGCTCGTACAGCTCGTATGGCTCCTATGGGGACTCGCCTCCGCTGTTCACGGTGGGGACTGTCTCTGTCTCTTGGTTTCCACATAGCATAGCCTTGTATGGAACACGGGACGACGTTCTCCGGCCCTTACGCCCACTTGCTTCGAGCAGGTATTGTTGCTATCGTTGCAGCGAAAGAAAGTTTCTTCTTTCATGAGCCACAGGACTTGCTGGATATTTTACTATCGGAATCTTCGTCACTTTTCTGCTTCAATCATTTAACGCTTGTAGCAATGCATCATTGCGAGTTTTAAGGTATCAGCTTTGTTTCTTTAACTTCCTTTCTACTTTTATCTACTAATTCTTATGCTTCTTCTTCCTCCTCTTACACGGTATTTCCGAAAACGTCATTCATGAGGCGCGGCATCGTACTACGCACAGAGGTTACGCATCGCTCGCTTATGAATGGTTTTACCGTATTGAGAGCTGCGAACCCTTTATAGTTATCATCTGATCTGTGTGGAAGAAATTGTTAGTAATTATTATTCATTTTTAAACTGCATGAATCCGCTACTATTTGGTTTACTTTAGTAACATTTGTAGGTTATGGGGACAACTGTTTTTTGGAGACAGATATGAGAAACGTTTAGGTGAATATATTGAAATATCAACATTATTCTTGAACTGTACTGTGTATTATATTCTTGTTACAGTGTTTTGCAACGGCGTATTCTTATTGATACTGATCTTTTAAGCGATTCAAGAATTGCAGCTTTGGCTGCGTGACGATTGTGCTGTAAACGAGGGTACAAATTTTTATTAATACTATACGACTTTTTATGTAGGAGATCGTGTTAATTTTTTAACTATTGAGAAACACTCGTACATTCATTCAGGTGTGAAGGCGGCTGTATAGGGACACTTGAATTTAGTCACTGAATATCCGCTCGGCTTGTTTCGAAATCACATTAAACCAGGCCCTTCCGCCCACTTTAGTAATGCCCATTGAACTTGACTAGGAAGAATGTTTAATATTGCACTTAAACATTTTAATATCTTCCTCAAGCCTTTCGTGGCATTTCTAGTTCTTTTAACACTATTAAAAATCTTATAAAGGACAAGTTAATATTTGCCATAAATTGTATATATCAACCCTGAAACACATTTCTCATAAGCGAAATTCTTATTTTTAAGAATCGTACCAATGTAGTATTCAACAAATCTACATTTCAATTAATAATATTATTTATACACAACAGATTGTAGTAGAAGAATTTCTGAACAAAATTTATTTCATTCATGTTTGTTACAGACACGAGATAAGGTGAGAAATAAGTCGTGGGCTTTGGGACTTGCTAACGAAATGTGTCTCGTTAACGGGAATCCTTTCACGTTGTATTTTTGATGTTTTTCGGGTTATCAAATTTTACCGCTTTTTAAAAAATCTCAAATATGGCAGTCTGACGGGTTCAGGTTCTGCAGATCGAAATTTCTTAATGAAATCTTTTTGGTAAGTGGAAATCGGTCCTGGTCATTACGAAATCACGTTGAACCGGGCCCTTACGCCTACACGAGCGATGCCGACGTTACTGCAGCCAAAGAAAGTTCAACTTCTTTCTCAGGCGAAGGGCGTGCATAACATATCAAGTCAAAACCCGATTTCTAATAGCTTCCTGCTCTAAATCACGCCCTTGGGCTTACTCGAAGTTTGGAGTTTACGTGGGACATAGAAAACAGGTAAAGGCTACGTACAGTTTTATGTGTTCGTACGTCTCAGCCAGGTTGACGCGTAGCGATTCAAATAATCAATTATAATATATATAGCTTTTCTATACCACATATGTCATAATGAAAATTTTTTTAATAATAAACGTATAAAAAATTTGGACTAATAATACATTTTAAACAGATAAATTTATACTTTTGTTTTAGACATTTTTGACATTTCAACGAAAAATCAGTTTTACACGGTAAACGTAAAATACTTGGACTTTCCAAACTTATTATTCTCGTTTTCTTTCTTCTTTAACAAGACTGTGACTTTCTGCTGTTTTTTTATTATTCTTAATTAATACGACCGAGCAGTGGATTGAAAATGATGTCTACATCAATCCAGCTATCTATACCGGTTTCAGAGATACGAAGGCAGTGGGTTGCGCAAGGGACACTTCCGCTCGGTTATTTCGACAGCATATATTTATTAACTAATGCCGGTTTTTTGAAAACCAATGTACTTTTTTTTAATGAGATAATTTATTCATGAACATCATGAGTCGATATTTGAAATAGTATTATTCCGTGACTCGAGACATTATGTAGGTTATCCTAATATGTAGTGCAACTGTTGCACACGTAAATAATCTATATGATAAGAGATAAAAAAATGTATCAACGTAGTAAATATTTACTTCCTACATTTCACAAAAGATATAATAAATATATATTATCGTTGCAGTTTAAGATTGTCAATTTATTTAATTTTCATGCAATTATAATGGACACGTATGGATTGTGGTGAATGAGTAACGAAAGGTATACAATTAAATTACAACAAGTGCATGACGTACGTTCTGATATATTAAGCTACATCAGGAAATGGTTAATGATATTATATAATATTATATTTAATAGATAGTTTAATTAAATATTATGAAAATGTACATTGAATAGAAACTAAATTAGTAGCCTATTAATTATCTACAGTAACTTGGTCCTTCTCAGTGCATCTTGAAATTGATATTTTAGCATTTTGCGTCTGATTATACGGTATTTAAGTAACATATGATTGTCATATTAAATTTACAAAATTCTTTTTCAAGTCCTACGGCAATACGTAATCGCGAGGTATGATCGTAAAGAAAATAAGTAAAATGAAAACACGCTGCTCTGTCTGAGTTATTATACGTTAACGTATCGCGATGCTTTGAGTTTCTATATATCTATATATGTATGTATATTAATAATTCATTCAATTATGCATAAAACTACATAACTGCGTTGCACAGCATAACACGATGTGATATATCGTGTAATGTACCAACACCGCATACGATATAATGTTATACACACAAAATGCAATAAACAGGACACTGCGTTCATTATTTTTTTTTCCATACACTCATAATAGACCAAATAGACACTAGCCTTTCGAGTTTTTAACATAGTACATAGAGGTAATGTCTCTATTTAATATTCATATGATTAACAAACGTCTAAAGGTGCAATCCCGTAATTTTATAGCACAAGACTTTCAGACAGGTTTCACCGTAAATAAAAACGCGCCGAGCCCACAAAGTACATACAAGGTAGTATATGAATAAATACACTTTCGTTACGTCTAAAAGAATTTCGATCATAAGATGGACGAAAATATAGAGATCTGATTTCGCGTAAATGCTTACACATAAGTGTCAATGCTCCGTCCAACGTGAAGCTTTACAGATCCTCGTAAGGCGATCCGCATCGAACGTTGTAAAACTGGTCGCAGACCTGGAATTGCTCGTTAAAGAGAGTTCCATTTCCACAAAGGTAACTCGAAACGAGTCGACCATTGTGACAAAGATGGTAGGCCTGTAATTACAATACAGTTTAAGTAAACTTATCAGTTGCGATAAGAATCGGTAATGTCGACTGTCATTAAGAGGATGACGTTCGTATTACCATTTGTCGGTAATTAAGAAAAACCGGTTGTTCCTGGCGGTCGGTAAAGAAGAACACTTGGCTGTACATACCTGACATTGTGCAGCGACATCTACCCAAAGGCGATTTCCAAGATTTTTACAAGAGAATCCGGTGTGGGGTACTTTGTGATATGTTGGATACAATGGCGGATTATGTGGTACGTGCAAATTGTGGTACGGATCGTATGGTGTCCCATCGGCATTTAGAAAATGACCACAATAAGCGGTGGCCACCATTGCTGAAACAAAAATGTAAGTGTTAATTTGCTTCTGAACTAAATGCACGATCATTATTATTTTGACAATACCGTTCATTTTACAAATAGTAATTTTTACGAAACATGATCCGTAGAGCTATAGCGAATAGGCATTGCAGAGCATTTCTGACAAAATGTGTTATCGGAAAATATCTTTTTATCAACTTGAAAATATAAATATACCAATAACCCTCTATTACTATCTGCTTAACAAATAAATGTTAGTCCATTTTCCTTCAATTTAAAAGGACAAATTATGACACTCGATGCCAGTGTGAACATAAGGCGACTCAAAAGTTGGTCCTTGATCAGGCAATAGTATAAAATCATAAATATGAATTGAGAAATGAATTATCTTTACACTAAAATCTCGCGTTCACGAAAGACAGACGTCCTTTCAAATCGGCCAACAGATTAATAGTAATCGTGACAGGAGCAGAAAGATTAGAACTTATAAACTCCTCAAGATCGAAATAGACAACTTGAATATTAAAGTAAAAATAGATACGTGGAATAAAATAAAAAGTATCGAGACATATTTGTTGTCCGGTCTGGTAGTACAGCTTTCGCTGCGATCGTTTATCATACGCGTTCCTTTTTTAAAAGGACACTGGTTAACACAGTTAACTGTAACTGAAATAACTGTCCTTTTATACACCTTCGATTATTAAAGATTAAAGTCACTCCGTAACATAACCTAACATAACCTAACCTAACAGGAATTTTCTTATGCGATGACACATAACCTTCCGTATTATAACAATCGACAGCTATTATACTATCTCAAAAATAGAATATTGAAGTAAACGAAATACGTATAATTAAAAATATACCTCTTCAATTTAATGTGTAACTAATTTTTTCACTTATTGTAATCGATACAATCTATTTATTCGGATGTCGTAACACAGCTGTATAGAAAATGTCTTCTACGTAATAAAAACGAGTGATTTCATTTCTCTAAAGCCGTTACGTATTAATTATGAATACGTGTTTGCATAAATTGTTTCGCCTGTTTTTTTCTTCTTAATAGCAATTAGTGTCACGCTCGTAAAATCCCGAGCGTAATGGATCAGCGAACGGAAGCGTAATTCAGTGGCCCTGTATATTATTCCATGTAAAAGTCTATTTGAGACTAATATATTTTTTATAAGTGCCATTCTCCTATGACAATCAACGTATAAGAGTCCCTTAGACGTGACACTGTATTTTTTAATATGTTAATTAAATAGACGAACTGTAACTGCTGAATTGTAATATTCGTTTCTGGGATGACGACGCAATAAAGCAAGTAAACTCAAATATGTTTACGTAAATTCATGATTTAAATTTTTTTTAAATCCCAATAAAAATTAATTTGCTGTGTTATCATTAAAGACTCATAAAATAATGATTCACGGTATAATAAGTAATGTTGCTTCGCACGATACAAAATTTGTTTTAAAACTTAATTACCCATTTTATTTAAAAAAAGGCTCTGCTGCTACATTCTCACGTTATTATTTATTATCAGATTAATTACTGATATAGACATATATTAATGTTCTTTTGGAATATATAACATACTTATAGCTATCCGTTTGAAAAGACCTTGAGGGAACGTAACATTAGTAATGTGTTAAATTAGCGGATTAATGATGGACGCCATTCAGCTATACATAATGATCGTGATTTGTAATATGACGTGGGAATATAAGGATGTAAGTATGAAAAAAAAGCTACTTTTAAACTGCCTGTGATAAATTGCAGCTTGTATATTACATATGTAGATTACAGATAGCACGTGACCGCAAAATAGCTCGATGCAAAGTGATTGATTATGATTATTAACATAACGCTATGTATTAATAGACTCGAAATTTGCATAGAGAATCCACCTAGCTTGACTTACTCATGTCTACAACATTAGTGTCAATAATTAGTCATTTTTTAAAAATTCAAATTTTATTTATTAAAAATTTTATACAGAACAAACATTTTTTTTATTAAACGTCCAATAATTCAAGTACATTTTTGTGTCGTTGCGTCATTGTATACCTCCTTAAAATTAAACCTTCATTCTCAACCACCGATCATGATTATTTGTTTCTCGCTAAATGTCATTATCCAAAAAAAATTTAGTAATATTAAATGCGATTTGTGTCAAATTTGCATACATAAGTAACGATAAGGTCAACGGTTTTAAAAATGGACGAAAAAAATTATTCCATCAGTGAGTGAATCATCGGAAAGAATTCCTATCAATGCTTAAATTCGTGAAATTTATTCGAACGATAATTATAAAAAATATGGTAAACAATAGTGATTGATAGTTATTGAAATTACCTGACAAGACGATGAGAAAAGTCTTCATTTTTAAGAACGCGTAACGGCTTCTTTTGAAAAGACGGAAAATTTCTTTACCGACGGAGCGCCGAGCAGAAGAGGAAATGGATCGTTCGTAATACGAGGGATCACTATATATTGCACTATGTTAACACTCGTCGCAAAGAGTCTTTGCCGATAAATGTTTAACGCGGCCAAAAGACTGAGTTGTAATTTGGACAATTCGAATAATATGAAAGAATCGGTAGCTCCTCTCGATTCGGACGGTGGGCAAGAACTGACTCCGAAATGATGTTTCCTCCGGAGGTGAACTTAACATCGTGAAACTTTCGTTGGCCACAGTGACCGTCACGACAGCAAGATATTTTTTTCACCCCGCTTCGGTACCACCCATATACAAACGTAATCGTAATACATTGGCACACATGCTTCGATCTCTTTTTTTTTTCACTTTTCAATTCTCCTTTCACACGTTGAAAATAAAGCTTCTGTATTGAGTATGGCGAGCAAAGGTATTCGGTATATATTAATTATTATTTCTTTTGACATGGTCATTTGTTAGGTTAATCCCTCTAAATTGTATTTCGTATGATTTTATTGGTCGATATATTAATTATAGTAATTATATGATATAATGATATACGGTTGAACACCCATTGAATTCAATAACAGTCACGTGAGAAACTGTTTACGTACTGTGACAGGGGAATATTTGTACTTGAATGTATATACACACATATATGCATTTGCGAATTTTATTAAAATAATTATAATTTTGGATAAATTGAATTAATTCTTATGAAAAATTGAAAGTTTTATTTTCGATTAAAAGAGTCGTGGGATGGTCGATTTGTTAAAAATGTTTTGTCTGACCGAAATATTATCCTCGATATTATTGACGTGTGTGGATCAAGTTTTGTTGGTTATTTTAATGTCACAGTTTGTTTGCCGTTGGAGAATTCAGTTGCAAAACCGCACGAAAGAGACGAAAAGAATGCGAAGTGGTCCGAGCATCGATTTTAAATTATCGATCAGGATCACTGAAAGTTGACCAGTTTCATTTACTTTTCCCTTTTAACTTATTGAGTCTCTTCCTTTTTTTTCTTTTATCACCGAACACGATAAAGGTAACCACAGTATTATATTTAACGCGCCACCGTTACGTATTATATTTTTCATTATTTTTATTACAATAAGAAATTGCATAAGGTATAACAATTTTTTTTTCCATAAAATTACAATGTACTATATAAATTCTAAGACTAATTTTTGTTATAATTCAATGTTAATTTTGTCAAAATACGTGGAATCAAGTTGTATGTCCATATCGACTTTCGCCAATTTTCGAATAATCAGCCAATAATTATAATAGATTTTCGAAATTTCACCTGGCAATTAAATAACTTTCTTTTAATCTATATTTAAAGAATCTAGTATTCAAGTATTTGACAAAAAATATATTAAAAGTAAAAACCAGAATTTAGGTGAATTCGATTAATTTAGAATTTCAAATTAATCAGAATTTTTACGATTTCATTAAAAAATTTATCAAAGAGATCCTCTCCCATAGATATTCCAAATTTCCAAAAAAATCGAAATACTGAATATTACATACTCCGCGTCTTAAGATCGTTCTCGAAATTCTAACGGCACTGCAGTCTCTATACTCAAATGTACTTTCCTCTCTTTGTTCAAATCGTCATAGCCACAGTACCTCCTCTCTACAGCTTCAATTACGTTCTGTTTCATATAAACACACGTCACGATAAATTTTCAGTAACACATGCTAAATTCGTTCAATGCGTTATATGCATATTGAAATTACATATAGTATATACATATAGTATATTTTCGAATGCCAAATAAAGTGTTTCAAACGTTGCAACATTCGTCACCGGATTGCAGCTTGTCAAGAGCCTTCATCTGGCGGCCTATCAATTTTCGATGTCATCGATTCAATTGCGCAGTCACGACATATAATTTAATGTAAATTTCAGGGCAAAAGGTCAAAGTTCTCTCAGGGAAGTGTATGCTTCATTCTTATTTCCGGTTTCTGGAAGTTGACGAACTTACCAACTGTTGCTTACAACCTTCGAACACAAGTAAACAAATATAACCCACAATACATTTTGAGATTATTTCACACGTATATTTATATACATATGTACATATATATTACACGGGTATACATATATACGTGACTAATAATCCAGTGTAAAATTAATGAAAATTCTGTATACAGATATACATGACCACAAAGTAAATGAAAAATTAATTTGTTCAAATCTTCCAAACATACAACGATCGCATAACTTATTAGTGATGCACCTGAAGTTGGCGTCTAACGAAGACCAATAAGTCTCATCGAGAATAAGATAAGGACAAACCTTGAATAGAAAACGTATTCAAAACGAAACCCGGACCTACCGAAATCGGTGATGGGATCGTTATTACTCGGACTTTCGATCATACATTCCTCCAGTCATTTCACTTTCGAAACGAAAATGATCACGAGTGAGATCAGTATGTACTTATTCGTTATTTCGGAAGGTGATTCATAGATCGTAGATCAGTTGTAATCAATATTTCTGTGTGTACGTAATGACGCAGGGATACCAGAATGTACATACACAATAAATATGACATATGAGTATCAGTGTGTAAAGGTCGTAACAACGCGGATCCGATCAATTTCCGACTTCCACTGTAAGAGAATGACTCAAGCTTAACCTCAAAAAATATTTTATCAATCACATTTAAATTAAGTGACACCAGAAGCGCATAAAATGGTTGCCAGCTATATTTATACGATCAATCTAATTTGTATATACAATTTTTAATTAATATATAATATATGCATTAATATATAATAATAATAATAATATACAGTGCATAGTATACATAGGTTACTCGGTTGATAACCCCTTCGTTCTTGCATTTGATTTTTTGTTCCATTCTACATTACCAGTCGGTTAAGATTACGTGACATAACCTATGCTAACGTGAAAGGATAATGGACTCGTATTATGAATTATAATCGATGCACAACTGTAAATGGAACATTGACAAGTTCCTCCGCGACTCCGCCTTCTCCGATGCTATCTGACAATATTGCAAACGTTTTATTACCGTTAGTCGCATTGAAAAAAAAATTTTTAACTGCTACACTGAACACGCGTATTTGGCTTAACAGCACAAAATCTCAGATTTCAGAATATCGCCCGTATTCTTGATAGCGTATCGGTGCAAATTATTTTGAATATAAATAAATTTTTTTTTTTAATTTTCGCCAAAGATATCGAACAAACAAGTTGACGAGGTCGGGCGAAAACCTTCGGAGCGTCATTGATCGAATTGATGGAATGCGGATCAGTCACAAGGGGCGATTATTTATTTGCGTAAAACGTATTTGAAATGAACAAAGACAAAAATATATATGGCCGATCCTAACGCATGGCCGTGCACAGGATAACCGCTTTATATGTATAGACCTTAGAATTGTTGACCTACATTTTCATAATAAACATTCACTTCCAAACTGGACCAGTACGTACGTGGTGTAGGTATGAAGTGGGCCAGGTTGCATACCACAGTTCAGCGATAGTTACAAACAATGATTGGAACCAAACAAAATTTTCATATTTCACATTGAAGACAACTTTTTTTCAGATTATTAATTTTTCGGACTTTTTTTTTCGTGAAAATTAATTTTCCTGCATTCAATCCGTTCGAGGGTAAACGATCGACCGAGGTTTTCCTAGATGGTCAAGGTAGTACGAATTCACGGAGCAGTAGCTCGAATCCGTTTCTAGCCTCGGGCAAGGCCGACGTAAAAGTATATTTTCTGTTTTGCAGCACCCACAGCTTGAATTTATGTAACGCTTGAAAAGAATTCCGAGGCCGAGTTACAGATTAATTTTGCTACGTCAATATTGGGGGCTCTATTCGTATTTTTTATTTGCTCGTTAATACTACGTATCACGATCTTACTTAGCCCCCGGGCTCATCTTTCCCTTAGTATAGCTACTTTAAATTATACTTGGGCTCTCAAACATGTCGCGTGCATTTCGTTTGTGATCTGATGTTTAGGGGATTTTTATTTCTTTTAGGCTTGTTATGTCATTGGAAATGGAAAGCATTAAGGAATGTACGTAAATAGAATTGAAATATATGAGGTTCATTATACCGAACGATTTATTAACGTAATTGGAAATATATTTAATATATTTAAGAGTGGGAAAAATATTTTGAAAAAACCAAAATTTTTTGTCAAATTGAAAAAAAAATTAAATTGCAACAAACTTGTTCAGCCAAAAATAATGCAAATAAATTAATAAAGAGGACAAATCATATGATCTGTTATCAATCATTTTTATCTAATCTACAGAATTTTATAAGTCATGTAAGTAGCATGAGTACGATCTTGATCCCGGATGAAAATACAGGTCAAATTTTGATGACTGCCTACTTGATCTTATAGTCTGAAGAATTCTTGCTCGTGTTATTACATAAAAAAAAATTAGTGCCTTACTCTGGATGATGTAAGAAATCGTGGGGGATTTTTGTAGTGTGTACTGTTACTTAGACAATGTATGTATATAGCTATACTCATAAGAATCTTAGATTATTACTATATGCATAGTAATATTATTATTATTATAGCTTTTTCGACATTATATTAGCTATTCAATGAAAATTATTGAATAGAAAAAATTCTTCACGGATCTTCAATTTTCAAATGTTCAGAACTCAAATTCAGGGTGCGAATCTCTATGAATAATTTCAATGAAATATCTACTTCCAAATATTGCAACAAACAGATTTCACCTAAAACATCATCCTTTGAACGATACGTCATCTCGTGTATTGGTTAATAACGTAAAGAAAAATTAATATCGCAAATACGTAACTTCCAAACCGGAAGGGGTTCTTCTGTAAACTTCAAATTCATCAAAGGAACAGGCATTTAGTTGTAACAGCTATAAGCCATTATTAAGTTGCTGATTTGATTATAATAAAGTAATAATAAAACAAATAATAATATATCGCATGCGTTAAAATTTTGACCTAATGATTTATTATAGCGGATATATTAATATTACGGAATCTGCATTTTTACGGAGTCCTAATAGTTTCATACGGAATCTCTTCTACCACGGTAAATCTCGTACTGTCCGAGAACGAGTAAACGTCCTTAGACCGCTTTCAAGTTTCAGTCTACCTTGCACAATAGTTTGGCGCCAGCTTCCCACATCCTCGCACACTTTTAATACACTTTTATTCGTATCGCATACTTATCTACAGGGTGTTCCCGATCAAGATCGACGGACAGGTGTCCATTCCCAAAATATCCTATAGAAAACTTAACACGGTAGTTAATTAATTAATTTAAGTAATTAAATAAAGTAAGATTTTTAACAATTAATATCAAAATAATATATATATACAATGAGAAATTTTTTTACAGACTTTAATTTTTCTTTTATTAATTTAAACTTAAACTCATCGTAAAACATATGCTTGATGCGAACTTGACCCGTGAGTTTTAAATGTGTCGTGTAAAACAGAGCCACTATGCAAATAGTATATCTGTATATTGTATACTCTATAAAAAGATGGCTGTATTACAAAAATTGAATCGCCCGATTTAAAAAGTATTTTTTTTTTAGAATTTCAAGTTTTCAATTTAATATAATTTTTTATCGATTCTCTCGACTGTACAAATACGTCTATCGTTGCGGCAAGTTACGATACGTAATTTTTACCTGTATAATATAATAGTGTCGTTTCGTAAAATCAATTCGTAATAAAATGAAATTTAATTGAAAATTAACGAAGAATGCTGCCGAGCAAATCGAACTAACCTAAGGCAACGTAGAGCGCAACGGTAACCTACATGTGGTACGTGTTTACTTCGATATCTGGAGCCGCCCACTTTGAGTATGACGATAATTTGTTTGTTAACTTCTGATCGCCATCTAATAATGACTCTTGCTTAAATGGCATTCGTACACTCTCAAACATTGACATATATGCTACGAAGTACCTGTACTCGATTTATACATAGATTAATATATATATATATATATATATATATGCAGGTTAAATTTGAACGGAATCAACAAGTCCAGTTCGCGCAAATGTTAATTTCTCTGTTACGAAATTCAAAGCATTATTTCAGATTAATTTGCAAATGTAATATGAATATTTTTTCTCATAACCAACCCCGACTGTGATTTGCTTGACAAAAGGAAAAAAATAGCAGAAATATTGGATTTTTAAATAATTACAAAATAATTTATATCAAAGTCATAATAATTTAATTAATATTTTTAATTAAAATGAAAAATTTTTACTAAAGTCCATTTTTTTCTTGATCACGACTGTGCCATTTATTTTTTGTCATTTATCTCATATTAAAAGTGCCAGGTGAAATATATCGATGAAAGTATTTCTAATGAGAAGTCAATGAGTCAGATGTAATAATTGCCTCGGGGATAAATTCTCTATACCAAAATATTTGCTTTCGCATACGTGATTTATATATACCTTGTATAGTGTGATAACTGTAACTGCAGAATACGCATTTACATATATTTTTTTAACTCGAAGATAATTATGATTCAGAAAAGATTATTTAAAGCTGTCAGAATTTTTGACGATTTTTTTTTAATATTTTTTTCCACATTACTTTTATCTTGGCATATTTTACCTGTTCATACAATTGTTTCACAATATATACTGTATGAAAATCCTCACTATATGTATATGCTGTCAAAAAGTCATCTCAAAGACGTCCAATATGACATGTGTCGTTTTTAAGATGTATATGCTGTCTGGATCTTTGACAAAAAATTGCTAATTAATAAAATATTTGCAATAAATTTTCTGTGCATACACTGATTACATATAATTTCGAATTTTACATTACGTCCAATATATCGTATTCAACAATTGCTGACATTAAACAATTTTTCATTGAGTACTACTTAAACTGTATATACTGAAAATAGGTATAATATAGATAAATCTTTTTTGCCTCATATATTTCATTAAAGATAACGTCCAAGGGTGATTAATCCTATAAAGTTTAATCGGGCCTTAAGATCATTTTTTTTAAAAAAGGGACCGTCTTATGGCATACGATATAAAATAAGACCCCTGACTGCAATCATAACGTACTTCTGAATAAAAAATATAATAAGTGTGATGTTTAGGGTTGAGCAAATCTTCATTGTCTCTGGTGTATCCAAAAATCGATGTAACCCGGCCTGACCCAAAGAATTTTATTCGCGTCGAGTCACTCTTGGATCGGTGGATATTAACATACTTTCGTCATATTTCAACATTCCGCAGGTAGCCATTCTTATGTAACTACCCAGCAAGGAAATTACAGCGATGTACCTGATATATCAAAATATATTAAATATTTTTAAAAAAGTACCTAAATTACAGGCGACCTGTAATATATAGTCCCTTGTATGCTTTGTATATTATGTGGGTGAATTTTAGGGTTGGCAATAGTCATAATATATAGCAGTAGCGATACCTCTAAAATACTGGGTCAAATACAGGATCTCTGCGTTAATGTACCAAATAGATATTATCTCTGGAATGCTATTAATGGCACTTTCCAAAAGTACTTATTACCTACTGTGGCTCTCGTACCCACTTCAAGGCATCATGATCGTCTATAACTATATGACATCGCAAAATCGATTTCCGTCTTATCACTGTTAGCATCTAGAGATAATCGAATTATTGTTCAGCATAGAAACTTTTATTCGGACTTTGAAATACAATAAACTCTTATGTGGATAGATTCGGTGAAATTGCACATATGCATTTTTCATTTATTTCATACACTTCACATATTAGCTGTATGCACTTTTATTGTTGTCAAATGATAATTCGTTAAATAATTTTGTCCTAGTCCTGCTGATTTTTTCTAGTATGTAAAATCACTGTGTCAGCCTTCGTAAAAATTACTTTAAAAAAGTTGCCAGCGACAAAGAAGCAGGTAGAATATAAACTTGATGCATGAACCCTGGCTTGTCTTGTGAATTATGCTTTTCAATGTCACTAATTCCCAGGGGCGCAATACCGACGATCTGTCAACTTAAAAGCTTAGTCTGTCAAGACTCAAGATCTCAATCAAATTTGTCAAGCCTGTCCAGAGGATAAAGATCGGGACAAGTATTAATGGAAAACCTTGCAACGATAAAATCGTTTATACTTCAGTTTAGTTGTGTGATTTTGGCTTTGAACTTATCACCCAGAAAAGGTACAATAGTTCTATTTCAGTAGGGCAATGCACTGATACTGTTATCGAGCGATTGATTCGCAATTCGAGTAAGCAAATCAGTATACAAAAAATGGAACTACTACGTGAATCAAAGACGGAATGTAGACAGAGTTTACATGCAGTTGATTTGACTAATGGAAAAATACTGTCATGGGAATTGTTCGATTTAAATTAGTTTCAGTTGAAATAATAAATACAGCATTTTACTCTTATAAGAATATCTAATCTCAAAATAGTTTTTTTACAAGTTATTTAAATTACTTTTTTTGTAGCTTTATTTTTTGTTTGGTCGAATTCAAAATTACGAATCACTATGTCGGTTGGTTGGAACAGTTTTTTATGACATTAAAATATTTTGAGATCAGTTTAAGTAGGTCCTTCGTTCACGATATTCCATTCTAATGATTTTGTAATCATTCTTCTATTTGACAATAATGGATTGCCTGAGTTAGATCTGAAACGCTTTTTCCGAACAGACTAGAAAGTTACGCCATTATATAGATAATACTACTCATCTACTAACAACTTTCATTTTTAAATATAATATGATTTTTACAAATATAAGATTTTGTTCGATATATCGGAAATTATTTTGTGCACAATTCACAATTAGTTTAATGAATAATGAGTTAATTTCAACTAAGTAAAAATAGGAGTATTTACTCTTACAGTTACGTACAATGAAAATGTCGAACTTTTGATAGTCACAATATTCCTCACGAGTCTTTCAATATGATTCTTGTAATCTGATACTGATATGGAATTGTGGTAAAATTTTCATTTCAACCAATTAAAAAATATTTTTAATTACAGTTACCGATCGACGGCACTTCTTCAAGGATCAGACGAGTCTGACCAGATGCTAAAATTTATACGAATTAAAATCAACGATCCACATTGGGCAAATCAAGTTTCTTCCTCTTGTTATTCGTCCGCACGTGACTGGATTCTCTTGAAGGAAGAGCAGGCAAGGAACAGCCTTTTGAATCTGGCAATAAAAGACCCCTGTGTTCCAATCTTCGAATATACGTGGTATTGGGTATAACAGATACCGGTCCAAAATAACAGGGTCCTCTTGTTCGGTTTATTGGTATCGCAGAAGATCTATCAGGTGGCAGCACTTCCATCTGCTCGGTAATGTCAATTTCTGATTTATCGGTAAGAATTCTATTATCCTTTATGAGATTCATTTGCCACCTGTAATATCATGTAATTTTTTCAATCTTTCAAAATATCAAATACGTATCATAGTTATAATTTCTTATAGAATATTTCACTATGCGCAAACACTATACTTTTATAATAATTCTTGTTACAGGAATCAAAACATGACCTACCGTCCAGAACTGCTATGACAAATTCTATTAGATTGTTCTTCAGGTGAAAGAGTAAGTATACGTCTCGTCTCAACTCTCTTCAACATCAATGGATTAAGAGCCATTTCTTTCGAAATGTTATAGCGCAACTCCGAAAGAAATCTCTCAACGAAACCATCCTGTGTGAAGAGAGGATGATCCAATAAATTTGAACAGCTGGGCCTTAAATCTGGATCCATACGAAGACACTGCGAGAGGAAGTCAGTAGCTGCTGAGGTCCACGTGGGAAATATTCCTCGTAGCAAACGAATTCCAGATAGTTGTCCTACAGTTTCCCCAACACTGGCTCTGCGGAGAAGTCTCACGCCATTGTTACGATTTACGATTGTTTGATGTTTTCCACAAAGTCCGCCTGCGGATGCATTTCATTATACATTCTTTCCATTGAATTACAGTTATTAACTTTGGACCAAAAATTATTCTCATTTGCATGCAATATTTTTTTTCCTTATTTAATTGTCTGAAAAATACTTTCAGATAGTTATAACATGGTCAAGAATTACTAACCAAGAAGTTTGATAATTAAATGGAGTTGGTCAACGTCACTGTCTCCCGGAAACAATGGATCACCGTTCATCATTTCTGCATATAGACATCCCACTGCCCATACGTCTACAGGTCGACCATAACGAGTGTCACCGACCAATAATTCAGGTGACCTGTACCACCTGGTTGCTACGTAATCTGTGCAGGATTCATGGGATCCGGAAATTAATCGCGCAAAACCGAAGTCACAGAGTTTGACAACACCATTTGGCGAAACCAAAACGTTTTCTGGTTTAATGTCTCTATGCATAATCTACAAATGTTTAATGGATATTATGATACATTTAAAAATTGCATGCAAGTGTAAAATACTAAGTATAAGAGAGGAGTATTTATATATAAATCTGACGTCATTGAAAGGTCGAGTCTTCTGAAAAAAAAAAACTATCTCTGCATACATCACAACGTGCCTTTAGAAAACTGTAATCGGATCTGTCGGATCGAAATAACGTATTTCTACTACCAAATAGTTTCTAATGGTTGATAATAGCTGGATGCGAAAATAATATGAAAATAGTACAGCACGCGAAGATAACGTAAATTGGATAATAAATTTAGGATAGGAAGCACGTGGCGTTCTATATATAGTACCTATAATATCATAAAATGTTACCTACGTTATTGTTGTGACAATAGCTTAATCCTCGTAGAACTTGAAAAATATGACGGCGAGAAGTTTCCGTTCCAAGTCCATTGCCACTGAAATTCTCTAGCTCGTCTAAAACCGTGTGATCCAAATATTCGAAAACCAAATAGAAACGTTTCCGACGTCTGAAAACTTCGATCATGTTGACCAGGTTCTCGTGATGTAATTTCTACGAAAAAGTCTAATGTTTTCACTGAAACTTATAATTCTGTACTGTTCGTCAGATGGAATTACGTTTTCGACTCGCATTCTTTCAGTGTGATTGAATCATTAATTGTGTAATACAAAATCGGTACCTTTAACATTCGAATTTCTCGAAGCGCCATTTTTCGCACTTGAGCATCATCTTCCGTTTCCAAAAATTTTTTTATCGCTACAATTTGACCAGTATCCCTGTGTCGACATTTCATCACGATTCCATAGCTTCCCTCACCAACCACTTCAATGTTCTCGTACCTGTCCATTTTGCGTTTCCGGTTTCCCTTTCTAAATGTTTTCTAGATTATTCTCTCCTATTGAGAAGGAACAATTTTTAACTGAATTTCTTGAATCAGTGAGCATCAGCAATTTAGAGTGCTATAATATATAAATAATATCTACAATTAAAATAAAAGTGGTAGAGACAAGTAAACAAAACCCAGTGTACACACAAAATAACAATTAAATTTCGGCATTGTTACAATTTGATAAATAAAAAAATGTAGTTACGAATATTCAGGCCGCAACATCAATGTTATCTTGAAGAGATTCATTTACGTTCTAATCCATAAAAAGGTGGTCCCTAAAATATACACTGATTTCATGACCCAAATACACACAGTATCTCGTGATTTTCATATCAACATTAAAACTCACACATTCACCTGACTTTCGAAACGATGCACTCCATTGGACGATTCAAGCAAGAAGAGTGTAACATTTTGTGAATATTCAAATTTTCAGCTCCTAATTCCCTTGTTGTAGTTCAGTTCCAAAACCTCACAATAAATAAAATGTTCGACTGTCCAAAAATATACTAGTCGTATATATCGCGCGAGATAAAACTCAGTTCACAAAATTGAATTCTGCAGGATACGTTTGTATGATTATCGTTTCAGTGTCGAAGTTCGGCGAAATAGCGGCTGAAGGATCGGACTGATTTTGCTGGTGCCGACCAGTGGCAGGAGAATCGTCTGGAGTAAAAAGGTTTCGTAGATACAAGTTTAGTCACGCGCACGTCACCAAAAATATACGATTATCGATTGTTAAAGTATTATGGAGTGGCGAGGAACAACGAGGCCTCCGTATCGCCACGCTCGTTGTCGGCCTCGTTCGTCTTGGAGCGTAAATGAAGGTTAGGTTCATCGATGGATATCGATTGCTGGTAATTAGTTGTTTCCCTTGTTCGGTTAAGATAGGGGTTGGAGAAAAGGCTGGATTCGAATGGATAATGAATGAGGGGGAAGGAGAGAGTAAATGCCAGATATGATGCTTACAGGGTGACACCGGGAGTCACGACCTACGACTACGCTGATCGTTCGATCCTTTTTCTTGTACCAGTTTGCTGCCTGCCGAGTTGCATTGTGATGGACCGAATAAATCCATTATTCAAACTATATATTTATATGGATAGAAGTCAATCGACTTGCAAATATCACATTGCAGGTCTCTTGTTCCATACCGATGAATGAGATTTTGTTATCTTTTTTTATTATACTTACTGCTTCTTTCTTCTTCGTATGGATTTACATTTAATGGGAAAGCTTAAATCGAGTTATGTTTTCGTAAAATTTGACTGATGAAATTTGCTAATAAAATTAATAAGCCTGAATAGGTAGCTGAATATTATTCACGTTATATTACATGGGCCTTCACTTTAAATATTCATTTAGTATTTTATTCGATGCGGTTTCTATATTTAAATGATATGCATTTTAAATCGGATGTTTTAATAAGACAAGCTTACTGTAAGTTGTTCCCAGTTCTTGGTATGACTCAAAGGATTACGAGAAACGTGAAATTTTCGAAGTATCGATTCTTACTGAACTTTGCATGCGTATCCTTGACATCGTGGCTTTCAAAGGTCAAAAGTTAGAGTCAGGAATGCTTCCGTAAAGTTTTCGCCCACGACAGAGTGCACTTGTTATAGGTTATGACGTAGCAAAACTCAGCGGAAATTTAGGAACAAGACTGCAATTTATCGCTGGAAAAGAAACTCCCAAGTAATTTCAAACTTTTAACTGCAACGTATATTTCGAAATAAATGTCCTGAGTCCCGAGTCTCGTGACTCGTTACGATGCTGTGAACGTTCAATCTTGATGCACGCAGGTTACTTGAACTGTTTCGAGTTAAAGTTATTCAAACTCGTTATATTCGATAAAACGATTCGAGTTTGTCAGTTGCCCTCGTTAATCGATATGCACCGAACGGAACTTATTTATAACCGAGTTCGCTGACTTCCGTCGGATGTAATAGACCCACCGTTTGAATTCACGTGCTTGGTCGACTCATTATACTGACTTAATTTATCTGTCATATAATTGTATAGCGAAATAAATATTTATGAAAAAATCATTTTTGATCCACCCACCTTATCCTTTGTTTTTTATTACATACCTGCCAGTCCCGCTACTGTACGTTAACAATATATACAGAAACTATGCTTTATAAAGTGTCGCATTGTAAAACTGTCACGAAAGATTAAACGGTAGAATTTATTTGAAAATTCACATGACAGTTCGCGTTCCTTACATTTTCTTTGAAGCAATGCAATCCTGTCCCATGAATACAAGCATTTACCAATGGAATAGTAACTCGATTTACACCGTGATCAAAGACATAATGACTCCCTTCATTCTTGACTCAACTAATCCGCGCTCTAGTGATCTTTGACGCATCACCAAAGACCGATGCAATCCCAACCACGAATATTTTTCTTCTCGTATCTTAAAACCGCAACATGAAAAGCACAATGAAAATGAAATGACGAACAGTTTCAGAAAAAAAGCATAGGTCGTCGACCGGTCTTGATCAGCTGTGATCAATCCTTATATTTTTTTATCTAGGAAGCTCGTTTCAGCTTGACGTTCTCTCACGGTCCTCCCAAGTTCCATGTATTCATTAAGCAGTTTGAGGAGATGAAATCTTACGTGCTTCTTTGAAGGTTATAAATCGTATAAATCTACCAAGTATAAAAGGACTTCATTCACTGTTCACGTGTCAGTTCAAGTGGTTGTCAGTTAAATCTTTCTTTAGGTTTCCAAAGGGCAAAGATCGGTTCTCTTTTTTCACTTGTTCCTTCACGAAACACGTGAAGCCTTCGGTTTTCTTTGGAGCAATGAAAACTCCACTGAAGGGAGACCATTGACTGGTTCTGCTAAACGACGCGGACACGTGAGGACATTTATGAGTCGATGAAGTGCTCGAGGACAAGAAGAAGCCACGCCAGTCTCACGAACTCAGGATACACGCATTAGTCGGGAATCACAAGAAAGATACTGGAAGGGAAGAGAAAGAAACGAAAAAATAGAGAGACGAATGAGTGAGAGAATGTACACGAGAGAGAAAGAAAAAACGATAGGGACTCTAAGGCGACCCGAGGTGCATACATACATGAGTCTGGCTGAGAGCAAGCACTGAAATAGACGCACCACATGGCGGGGGTCTCTGCCATTGCCAATGTGTGCGTTGGCTGTAGCTGCTGAGGATACATGGAAAAGAAGTATACTAGTGATGAGTCGTCACGAGAAAATCGTGACAGTTAACGAAAGAAACTGATTGTTATAGAGTCTAAGCATTTCCAATAGATAATTTTCATTTCAATAGATATCATGGTTTTTAAAATAAATTTTTATACGAGTACTCACCGTTTTGTACGATACAAAATATGATATTCGTTCTATAGAGATTTAACTTTTGAAAGTAGTACGTCGATATTTCTGTCTTTCGATTCATCCGATTGTTCTTATTCTTACAGATTGATTTAGTTCCTTTCGCAATTTATGCTGTTTGGATTCTCGGAAACTTCAAAAACAATGCATAGACTAAATATAATATAGCCACAAAAAATAATACGAAGAATCGAGAGAAAATATGTATACGAAATCAAAAGCAGCCGTAGCTTATTGTGTGGCAAAGAAAAAAATGCAGGTCCTCAAAGAAAAAAGTAGTTTCTTACACAATTCTTAATGTAGAGTGTCGTATAATGCGAGAGACCACAAAGTATAGCAAAGGTAGATTTTAAACCGCCGCGCAAATGATGCCATACTTAAAAAGAAACATGGCACTAAACTGCGCAGAGGGAGAGAATAAGATGTGAAACCTGTGACATGGCTGAAAGAGACGTAAGTATCGAATGAAGATATGTAGGAGTGAAGAAGTTAATGAAGAAGGGGACGTATGGCTCTTGAGAGGATCAGACGCTAGAGTTTTGTCGGTTCGTATATATTGGCCGAGAATATACGTAGAGGCAGGATGGCGCGCACGTGTGAGTGGCGGGTGATCCCGGTAACGAACTCCGAGCATTCGGCTCCGAGAGCGGAGCGATCCGGGCGTCGAGTCCTCCGTTACGCGCTAAGAGACAAACTGACGACGAGTCGTAAACCGTCGCGACGCATTGCCCGTGAGCGGAACGATGTTTGTTCCCTCGATTGGGATTGGAAGAAGTGTGAGATCGTGAGTGTCCGTGACCGGTGTGGCCTGAAGAAAGATGGCCGCATGCCACCCCAGACCACCTCTTCAGCACCTGCAGCATCCGCAGTTGCAGGAGTCCACTGTAAGTCTTGGAAGTCTTGGTAATATCGGGAGCATTGGAAGTATAAACGGATTGACCAATCAGAATCAACCAGCTACTACGATCCAACAGTCTCACCACTATCCACCCCATTTACTCAATTGGGTTTACTTGGCTATCGCCGATCAGAATCCTCCACAACCACCCGATCAGGTATTCCTTTCTTATTGTTATTATTTATACATACATATATAGATTATGTAGTATATCCTGCTTTTTATCTCTGATACATCTGCCATTTGAATTAGAGCTTTTACTTGGATACGTAGACTCTTGATATGTGGCTATACGATAATATGACTACTTTTTCTTAGGCTGTAAAATGACAGCATAACAGTTTTCGTTAGAAATTCTTAGACTGGATATGATGATTCATTGATTGTCTAAGCAGCTGTTTTGTTATGACTTGTATAACCTTTTTGTATTCAACGAAATTAATTAATGTTACAAGTTAACATTGGTATTTGCGAACGAATTGGAATTGTGTAGTAAATTTCAAATTATCAATTGGAGACGTCATTTTGAGAATTTTTCTTCGGATGATATAAAATGTATGATGTCACGATTCATGTAATTCACAATTGATGCGATCAACATGAGAGATGTAACTTTAATTGAGCGTTATGGATATAATTAATTGTTCATGACTATCGAGTATCTTCTTAATTCGGGTGGTGTTTTCATACAAAGTGCGGAATATTAAAGCAACATAAATAGGAAGAAGTTTAACGATAACCAAAGGTATTGGGCGCCGCCATATTGAATGTCTAAGCAAATAGCTCAGGTGTCCACCTCGTTCTTACAATTGTTTAAGCATCATTTATTTTTAGATTATTCCGGGACATGACGATGCTCTTGTCTATATTCTTCGTGTAACACAAAAACTCAACAAAACTCAACAAGTGAAATGATGTAATAAGTTTTAGGCGGCAATCGTTTCACCCCATTTCCATGATAGCAACTCCTTCACTATTCTTTTTATAGGTTTCACTAAAACTTTTACATCAGTAAACCAATTTTTTTATTTTTTTTGTCTAAATTGCTCTAATTGGTGCATATCTTCTTACTGTACGTGCAGTTAATTAATACCTACAAAATTTTTTCAGAACAAACTACTACCAGCGATATGGGGGAATTTTCCAACGGCTGCATCACAAACATACCTACACCAAAATGCCATAAGTCCATCGGGCCCTATCGGTCCCGGAAGTCTGGCAGACAGCATCGGGGACTTGGCAGACCATTTCACGGAGCTCGGTTTGCTCGAAAGGAAACCAACAAAGAGACCACCATCCACTTATCTTTGCCATTTGTGCTTCAAGAAGGGTCACTATATCAAAGATTGCCCGCAGGTGAGTCAATCTGTGATAATATTCAACAGTGAAAGCATACTTACTATGCATCTTAAAAAATTCCATGATTAATTTTCCAAACTCGTTGCAAAGTGGTACGTTCATCGTCTGCATAACTGACGTGGCCCTGAATCACGTTATTTTCGGAATGACTAACCTAAAATAGTACAATCCGAGGAGTCTGTCGAAAGATTCGTTGGGACTCGTTATAATCGCGAATTTTCTGATCGCGCAAGTTAAAAGAATTGTCTTCGTGTAATATTGCGAAGCCAAGAGAGAAAATTGTAGCTGAGTAAATACTAGACTACTTTATGTAACGCAACGACCGTCATAAGATGACAAGTAAGCGTTGTATCTCGATTCTATACATTATCAAAATATCACTTCAAACGAATGATACGGATTTAATAAATCTTTCTTTTTATTTTATCGACGTCATTCGAATACTTTATTGCAACTAAACAATGCACTAATGATATATCATCAGAATATGACTCCGCTTGACATTTAATATCTAACGGGCTATCTCAATGATTAAAAGTGAACGTACAGTAGTGACCGCAGGTAGGGATTCTCGTGAGTGAGCTAAGAGACATTTAATAAAAAACTATACATAAATGCATCGTTGTTAAACGGCACGCGAGTCATGTAGCACGCATGTCAATCCAGTCTCGTCGTAGCGCGAGATGCTTCGCTCAATTGAGCGTTAATTGACAACAAAAATCATCTCTGGCTGTTATGCATGACGTCATGCCAATGAACTCTATACTCTTGCTCCAATTAGTTGTCACAGGGTGCCTTAGACTAAAATAGTAAGTAAACGCGGCTGAATATTTGTGATTTACTATGAAAAAATGTAATGCGTATTCCTATCAATATGTCCCTCTATTGTTATTATTTTTTTGAACATTATTATACGTTCACATATTCTTGGAAAAGAAGCATTTCTAAATATAGTATTAACGTGTTGCATGAAAATCAATATACGAAAATATTTTTATTTTCAATCTATTGTAATGATCGCTTTATATCTCGTGCCGAGCGTAGTTGTTAAATAACAGGCCGCTGTAAGCCAGGTAAGTATGTACCTCCCACCGCTAAGCTAGTGCCCTGTCCTGTCCGGTAAGGGCGGTAAGGGCCCAGTCACACTAGCCAAAGGCGCGTTCGCATGTGAACTGTCGACCAATGGTACCACGCGTGCATAGGAATTCGCCTTGTGTTGGTTTGGTTGCAATTGGTCGACAGTTGCATTCAAACGCGTGTTTGACAAGTGTGACTGAACTCTAAACGGCAAATATTGGCTTCATTTGTCAATTGTCGCTGGAGCCATACATATCGGACGGACAGAAGTACTTACGAGACGTAGACTATCATAGCATCCAGTTAAAACCAGTTAAAGCCTGTATAAATTTTAACAGACTATTACACTATTTATTATTGAAAAAATAAGTACGTGAAAGTATATACTAATTTTACCTTAAATGCTAATTGTTCAATAACTATTTCAGGCCAGGCCGAAGGGTGAAGGATTGACTCCCTATCAGGGAAAGAAACGCTGTTTTGGTGAATACAAGTGCCCAAAGTGCAAACGCAAATGGATGTCCGGTAATAGCTGGGCAAATATGGGCCAGGAATGTATCAAGTGCCACATCAACGTTTATCCTCACAAGCAGGTGAGTCTGGGGGCCGCATCAACAGTCTCGTCAACCCCGTCTCACGCGTTCATCTCCTCCTCGTCCTCTCTCAGTTACGTAAGTCTACTTGCATCCCCTTCAATACTATTCTAAAATACAAAATAATGGTTAACGTTTGGTAACACTCAAATCCGTTACTTATATGTCAACGCTTTTCACTTTAACCAGGAGGTGCTGCTCTGGCGGATTAAAATGCAACTCTCAATGTTGCCAATTATGAATTACGTTATTACGTATGATGACCTGCATGCACGTTGAATGAAGATACGTTTAATATATATTAAACATAATTAATAGTGCATAAAGATTTTTTTTCTAATTCGAAAAATATACATTTGGCGATCATTAATTAGTCTACTAAAATAGATTATGTGTCCCGGATAAAATAACATTTGAAAATTGATGCCACACTAATTAACATTAGTTAATCGTGAGAGGCAGTGCCGTATCATCTTTTTGTCAGAAGCATAATACAATGGATGAGGAATAGTAATAAGAAACTGTAAAATGAAAATTGTACGTTACAAAGTTTACATACCACTTGATATTAATGGATGGGATAATCGCAAAAGCCTTACTAATTCATGGTTGTATTTTCTAAATTGAATTAAAATGTGCCACCCAGTATATGAACGACGCCACGTGCAGAGAACGTATTCCATGCCAGAAACGAGTCTTATTTTGGAATCGGAGCGAATCCTTAGAAACGGAGTTCGTGTATTAATAAGTGAACCCTCTCTACGAATCCCGGACCCTAATACATTTTCTAAATTTCTTTTTATCTTATTCGATGCAAGAGCTATCCTTTCCGTACGTCATGCTCGTCAAATAGAATACGCTCGACCGATTTAAAATACCAAAGGAAATTTTTTCGCATCTAAGAAAATATTTATAAGACGTCATCGTGCCGCGTCTAGTCCTATACGTTGAAATTGTGTTATTTACAGAAAAGTATGAAATATAAGGAATATCTAAGCCTTCTTGAGATACTTTGAATCCTAAACAATGTTCTTCTGTTCTCATTACAGAGGCCCTTGGAAAAACCGGATGGTCTGGACGTATCCGATCAAAGTAAAGTGCATCCGCAGCATCTTTGTGAAAAATGCAAAACCCTTGGATATTATTGCAGACGTGTCCAATAGCAATAACTTCTCACTGATCTTCACTCTTCATTCTTACCTCGGCTTAGTGATGAACGTTGTCACAATGTTGTACTTATACGCAACCAGTCCACGTCATAACAGCAGATGCATTTACATTAATTCATCCTCTTCGGAAACAACCATCTTAAGCAGAATATCTTGAGCTAATGAAAATGATTTAAGACCATAATTAAAAATTTGTCACAAAGAACCAAGCGAGACACATTCAGTCACAAATTCGCAAGTAGTAAATCCTATAAAGGATTAACATGCCAAAATGAAGGAGCCTTATGTATCTGAAAGCATTTCTCCCCAGAGGCGGTAACTTTTATGTTTGTTGTTTCACCAACTATTTATAGCCAGCTATGTTTAGAAAAACTTGGAAACCTACGCAGAGGTAGGGAAGCTCTGCAAGGTACATAATCCAGTGAACTATTCAAAATATCACTACTGAACATGATCCAAAATTTAAATGCTATCGCACTCACTTGATCCACGCAAACGAATGTAAGTACAAAATTTTAAAATCATGTGATTCTTTTATACCACGTCGAATCTTGAAACAATAAGTGCACCTTGACTTGCTTCATCCCTTCGTTCAAATTATTAAGTCCCTGCTAGTTATGAAATATTTAAGTTGAGCTATTGTCACATTTAATTGATGGGATTGATCAGTGCATTATCTACCTCGCGGAACTATCTGTTATGTATAAACTGGGTCCAGTCCGCGGGTCACTTAATCTGTATAAATTCGTATTATCCAATATATTGAGTTATATATATACTTACACGTGTAAGATATCTCTTTGAGATCACACATGAGAGCGTACGAGACGCAGAGCGACACACTTATATATATACAAATTGCGTAGTCGCGTGGTTGCCTTATCTATTATTATATACATAAGGGGTTGTTACATTGTATTCGATCTATGCCGTAATTCCTGTTTCAGATGAAAATATGTTTAAATGTTTTAAATAAAAAAAATCAATAGCTCCGAAGGTGATAATCCATAAAGACAAGACGTTCTCCATAAATATAGGTTTTATGTCATCTTTTAAAGATCACATTGTTTTTTAAACAAGTAAACGTCTTCTTTTAATGGATATTCTTTGCGAAACTATACAATTTTGTCTAAAAAATTGTATCAAATTTTCCTCTGGAACACAAATTATCGCTTATATCCATTTTCAATTAGACACCTTGTATATTCATCAAGTGCCATGACAAAGAGACATATTATATATACATACGAAAGAATCATACTATTTCATTGATAGTATTATATTGTTGTTGTTATTATTATTATAATTATTATATATCGTCGTGCCAAATATACAAGCCAAAGATACAACAACGTGCCTATTCCTCGCATAATCTTTCATACTTGGAAATTTCTCCTGTAAAGGATATGATTTTTGCCTTAATAATAAAGTTATATGATACAATATACATAATGAATGTACAGTAGTCAAGGATCGGTTACGACAAAAAGTCGATCCGCTGCAGAGTCCTCGCCGAAATACGCTGCTGAATTGAACATTGTTGCTGAAGAATTGTCTGGTGTTTGTACCTGAAACCAAGGAATATTTAGCATCTCCCAAATTTCAGGTATAGCAATTCGGAATAACCTTCTCGCTATGGTAACTACTATATACTAGTCATAGCATACTCGCAGTATCAATCTGCTAATTGAAAGTGTTTCCGCAGCAACAGTGTTAATAAAGGAAATATCATTCAAAATTATATTTTTTTTAATCACTACGTGAGCAACATACACTATTTAGAAAATAGATATTTTGCTTGTTTAAATCTTTCAAAAAGAATGCATAAGTAAATAAAAGAATTAATAACCATGATAAAATAGCAAGATACTAAAATTAAGAAGTTCACAAATCGTACATAACAGGCAATGTCCGTAAGAGGTCCACAGGAGGTCATAAGAAGTCTGGATGAGTACGTAGGATGTTCATGAGAAATCGGTGGGATATTTGTGCTCTGTTGGTAGATTCTGTCTTGTTATATTGGCTGATTCGACTGTAGCCTAGTTGAACGAAGTTTATTTAATGTTCAAAACAGGGATGCTACTAGTATTTACGTACAATTGTTTTTATATTCAAATGCACCTTCTTCGTATAAAAGGATGGTGCACCTGGTTATAAATTAAATTAATTATATAATCTGGATAGCCTTACCTCAAATGAATGATTAGGTCCAGTCGTTGCAAGATACGCAAATTGGGAAGTTTGCTGTAACAAATGCAAGTGTTGCTCTTGAGAGACTTGCGAAGATGGATTTTGGATCTGGGTAGACTGTGTTCTCTCCAAATCATTCTGATTCTGCTGATCTGTAGATCGACTAATCCGAGAAAGTTTGTGATGAAAATCAAAGATTTCTTGAGCTGCAGGTTGAATTGCAACTGGACTCGACACATTCAACGACGGTTGACTCACTAATGTGATAACTTGCTGAGGCTCTTTACTTTCAAATACTAAAGATGGCAATGGCATTGATACTGGAACGCTATTCAATAAAGGACTTCCTGTTTGTAATGGACTCGAAGGCAAGGAATTACTTGTATGTGAATCCCTTGGAATTGGTATCGGTGAAGAATTTTCAGGCTGAGGGGCTATAGCCTTGGGAAATGAGGGTTGTTGTTGACCGATAAGACTGATTACTGGTTGAGGCTGCGGTGTTTGAGAAAGATGAGAAGGTTGAGCTGGTTGAGCAGATTGGGACTGTGGGGATGAATGATCTAATTGAGGAGATTGAGCTGTTTGAGGTAAGTGTGACAATTGTGGAGAAACAGGAGGCTGCGAAGGTTGCGTAACTGGTTCTGGAAAGAGTTCAGATTTAAGTTTAGGTAAAAACCCATCAATGGTTCTCCAAGTGGGTGCCCAAAGATTGGAAGTGGAAGCCAAGACTCCAGCAGACGCCATGACTAATAGCATGTTTTTCAGAGACTCGGGAATTGCCTCGTATAATAATTCACTGTTTTCAGCATGCATGTACGCTCTGAGAAGATCTAGTACAGTAAGCCACAGGGGTAAAAATCCAGGAAGTGTTAAGAGTGGTGTTAAATGATGCAAGAAAACCTTGGACAACAACATCGCTGCCCTGACTCTGGTTTCTTCTACTCCGATAGGATCATTTACAGCAATTGGTCCTAACAATTGAGCTAATAAAGGAAATAAAACCTGTTCGAAACATTGTGACCATTCTACGGCTGATAATTGGGCCTGATCGTGAGCCAAAAGCGTACTCTGAAGATACGTTATTGCGGAAGCCCGCACAGGTCTACGAGCATCACAACAGAGGCGTGCAATACCCTGAAGCAAGGGTCGCCATGCTTGAGGCCATAGGGAAACTTCAGTGGTGCCATCCTCTTCGGCCCACCATTTAAAAACCTGAGCTGTTCTTGTGTGAAGTGTATGCATTAAATCCAGTAACTGTATTGGACTTTGTTGATATCCAGCTGGTTCCTCCGAAGAAATATGAACTCTATTTCGTTTCCCTGTACCTTGTAAAACAGCTTCCGCGAATGTTCTGACACAACGAACACATAGTTCAAAGTTGTACGGAGTAACATGAGCTACGTCTCTTACGAGGAAGGTCAGACTCTCGCAACATTTTACCAACGCAACCGGATCATGAGGTTGCAGGTCGCAATCAAGAACTATTGTATCCGCTGTTACAGGAAGTGGGGCTTCTGTTCCTGTAGGAGATGCCAAAACCCACTCTGGAACTGGACTTATAGGTCTCGGATCAAGAACAGACGTTCTGCTTGGAACTTCGTCCAAGGTAGAGTTAGACTGTTTTGGCAATAAAGCACCAGCTCCTGCACATTCGAGGAGACTGAATATTACTTTCCAATCCTCCGTACTGTGAATGTTTGCTGCTCCAGTTTTGAGTAATTCAAACAATCCATAAGCTATTTGTCGGACTAAAGGAATAGTAGTTGCTGATGGTAAGTGAATTAATGGAGTTAATGGCGGCAAAACAGTCCCTGCCAGCTCTTCACCGCGCAGTAGTCTTATTGCGAGTCTCAGTATTCCCACTGCTACTCTTTCAAGAAGATAAGGATGATTCTCTCGGGCTGCAACTGTCAACAACCCCTCTAAATGACCTTGCACTACCGGCCATATACAAGTTACCCTATCACGATTTTGAATAGTAACTCCTAATAATAGTTCTAATAAAAAGACAGATAAATCCTCATCTTGATAGTTTGCAGATACCAAAGCTCCTACCAAAGAACGCAGAGATTCCGCCTGCAATGTACAAAACAAAATATATTAAATTAAAATTGAAGTACGATTTAACAAACTACGAAAATTACTCGTGGCTATTTATAAATATGTTCACAAGCATAATTTGTTAAATTAGTGTACGCCTACGGTAAAAACCGTTATCATTGGATTCAACCAGAAAATTGAAAAATCCTCTTACCTGAAGGAATTTACTCTCCTCTATAATCTGTTTCAAATAACAGTTGGCGATGCACTCTGTAGCTCTTTTTCTAGTGGTTGCTTCAGCTGGATGTGGAGGTCGAGGTGCATCCAATGCAATATAAGAATAAAGACTGGACAGAATCCCTTGTTCAACAGGTGGACTCTTTGGTGACGTTGGCTCCCGAACGAGTGAAACCTTCCCTGATGGGTCAAGGAAATCTTCACCTTCGGTAAGGCTCTTTGGTAACAATCTCGCCTTATACAATGTTTGCAGGCAGTCCACAACGTTTTTCCAGGAAGCTCTGAGAGCATCCCCGTGCAAATGGGTAATTTTGAACAACGTCCGTGCAGCTAATTGGCACCTGCCGCTTCCACCCAAATGTAAAACGACTTGCTCTGGTTCACCGCCCATGGCCAATCCGGTAAATTTACAGAGACTTACGACTAAAGTATCCAAATCACTGCTCATCCCGTAATGAGCGCTAATGGCAGCACAACTGAAGAATAAAATTCATCATCAGTTAGACATTAAACATCAGTGTCATATTTAAGGGACTCTTTCACATTATAAACTATAAAGTTGTGGCCCCTTAAAAGCACACTGATCTGAAGACTAGAGTATAGTAATTCCTATTGATATGAATAATAATGGTATTTATTTACCTGAGGAATGTTTGAGCTACTTTACGTTGTAAAGATCTATCCGGTGCCTTATCGTAAGCTCTACATAGAGCACTTACGATTGGAGCCCAAGCTCTTTCAGCCAATTCTTTGTCAACGAGTTCTCCGGCACCGCCAACTTTTAAATATACACTATTCGGTCCCGCGCCTCTACGTAGAAGAACTTTCCAAAGATAATTTTCCTTTACTAAACCCGTTTGCTCAGCTGGCATTACAATTTCTTCGCTCCTGAAATAATCCATTGTTATTCTTGCTAGATGAATTACTTACCCAATTGTTTTATTACACCGCATTAAATTAATTTCAGATTAGCATTGACTTTATAGTAAGGAAGCAATTTTTTTACTTGATAGACGAATAAATTTCATCCAGCATATCTTGATCGAAATCAGCACCACCATTAACTTTTTTTAAATTTCGTTTAAATTGCTCAGGCGTCATAGGATTGTTTTGCCTTTTTACATTGTGATTATGCTGATCGACATTTAACATAATAACGGCATAAGCTAACGTAAATGCCGCGTCGGCCGACGCAAATGGTTTACCATTACTATCCTACAACATTAAATATCTTTTGTCATAGTTATTTATAATTATTTAACATTATAAGATGATCAGTTTAAATTGTCATTAATCTGATAGTACTATCAATTTTTACTTACGTGCCAATGCTCTGCGAATTTTTCCAAAAGAAGAGATATAAGTGGAGCCTCGCCAGGTAGTCGAAAGGATTCAAGATAAAGTCGTAAAGCTTGATCTATGCGTGTCTGATGAAGATCAAAATTATGAACGAAACAATTCAAAATAGTTTTATTCTCTTTCTTGCTAATATACTCTCCGATGGCTTTTTTATCAAGTCCAGGATTTTCCCGTAAGAATTTTGCTATCTTTTCAGGATCAGGATGACCTGCACTTCCACCTAGCAAACCTCGTTCCGTCAACCTAGCGATACCTTCACGTGGGCTTTCGTTAAATTTTTCCGTCCCCAGAGCCAACCACTAGAGTGAAATATTGATGAAATCTTAGGAAACTAATTTTTTTTTTTGCAGTCTTTTAACTTACACGTTTGTTGGCTTTGGTCGTAAGCAGCTCTTCCCGATCTGGTAAATTCTCTGATGGTGTATGGCGAGAAACTTTACACATATCCTTATATCCTTTACATCTTGATTCGATGCCGACGATCAACATTAGCAGCGCATCCAAAGAAATTAATTGCATACTATGCATGCCACCTGTTAACGCCGAAGCATTCTATAAAATACGATTTAAATGATCAATATGGTACCAATAATATGAAATTTGAAATTTTTAAGATTTGAAAAATTTACTTTAGTCAGTAGTTTTGTGAGATCTTCGTAAAGATTCGTCGAATATAATCCACAGTCGTAATTTAAATACAACTCAGCTGGTAATCCCGGAATTCTCCACAATCTCACGAGGGCCTCTGAAAGATAAATAATTATTTAAAAAGTCTTAGTATTCATGATAATTCATCGATAAGTTTCTTTATGTCGAAATGTACCTAGCGCCAATTCTCGTTGCTCGTATGATATCCTGTTAGAATCCGAATTTACTAGTTCCATTAATTTAGTTATATAATGTTCCATTTGAAATTTAAGATGTTGTCTTTGTGATTCAAAGAGTAAGAATGCGACTTGAAGATCAGCCGCAAGGATCGATACTCTGTCTGTTCCAAGAAGCTAAAAAAATAAACGGGGTATTATATTTTTTCTCGGTAGATTCTTAATAAATTATTTGTTTTGTGGATCTTAGAATATCATTGTTATATAATATAGAATGCAGATATATTTTCTTACCAAAATTAAATTTCTGCAGAGGTCATCCTTGAGTAACGATAAAAGTGATGAAAAGTTGGAAAGAGCATCCACTGACACTTCCAAAGCTACTTGAAGTAAACTGAGACCAAGATGAGTCATAATTTCAGTGTTCTGCTTGTCCAGTGGACTGCACAGGGAAATTAGGTACCAAAAAAGTTCTCGAACGCAAAGAGAACCATATGGTGCCAGTTCTTGAAGCGGCATAAACCTCACTCCTTGCGTATTCACATATTCTTCTGGTTGTTCAATTTCTGTCTTAACATTTGTTATATTCGTATTATTTGTACTCGCATTATCGTCAATTGATAAATCCTCTACACTTCCCACGGCCGATTGAACTAGATCTATAGATTTCTCATCTTCCACTGTTAAATTTCCTGTATATGTGAAAGAATCAAGTAAATATTGTTAGCTCTACTAAAAGAAACATTTAAGTTTGCTCTTTAAAATGAAAAATTGTATTTAATGAGAATAAAGTAGAATATAAGAAGTCTACCTAATAGTAAAGAAAATAAAGATATCTATAATATTAATATATTTTATAGTATACTAATAGTATATTTTACCTTGATTTTCCGTTACAATTTGGTCTGGAGAAGATTCAGACTTTACTTCATCAAATGATTCCTTTATTTGAACAGACTCCTTTTCCTTTTCCTCTTTGCTTTCGTCTTGTGATTCGTTGTTCTTTTCGGAAGTAATAGACTGGTTAATTTCATTCTTTTTTATTTCATTTTCTTCATTTTTAGTGTCGTGTTTTCCCTTGTTTGTAGAATCTGTATTTTCATTCTCCTTATCACTCTCTGTTGTAATTTCATTTTTATCTATGTTACGTTTATCGGATTTTTCATCTTCTACTTTTTCGGTGGCACTACGGTCGAGAGAACCTTGCATATCCACAATATTTTCTGTAGAAGTAACACGAGTTGTCGGCAAGTCTCCCTTTTCCCTTTGTGCAGGATTCAGATGAGACTCGGTAGATTCCTCAGCTTCCTCTGGATTAAATTTTGATTTTTGTTTGCTATGACTCTTACTTTTCCTGGCTTTCGTATGAGTATTCTCCATACTGTTTGTTCTCATTTTCTGTCAAAATAAAAATAATTGTTTAAACGTTGAATAGGACATTAGGAATATTTTATAACGTTTACCTTCATATTTAATAGAGCTCTTGTATCTTCTGCAAATTCAGGTAATCGTCTAAAAAGATGATGCACCATATCCTTCAAGCAGTGTTCTGCTGTCTTCCTGAGCAATTCTAGACAAATATACATTAATAATTTAATTATCAAAATTAACACATTTTTAAAACAAATCTTTGTCAGATCGTAAAAGAATTTACAAGATGCGCACCACTTAACCGTGTTTCATAGCATATTCTGAAACAACTCAACATGATCTCACATATGCTTTCATTGGTCAAATGATTACCAGCTGGTGACATCATCAAGGATCGTAACACCTGCAGAATACGCATAAGAACAACACTATCTCCTGATGCATCTGTTCCAACAAATCTTGCATGCGTAACTGCATCAGCTACAGTTTCCACGCATGGAGCAATAGCTGAATGTTCAGAATCTAAAATATACAGATATTCTTACTGTGTACATCATCAAGAACTATGTAAAGATATGGTGTGCCTCCTTACCAATAAGGCCATACGAAATAAATTTGTGTACAGCAGATAATGCAATGCTTGTGACAGGTCCTGTTGTCTCCTCTGAACGAATGACTTCTAAGAATGGAGCCAAGAATACTCCTGGCTCCAGTTGTGATAAGTCCTTGGCATCGTTCAGTACTTCTTTCAAGGAAAACAATCCTTTCATTAATGCATCTTGATCTTCATCCTATAGAACCCAGATTAAAAGCAGAAAATTTAAATAACACCAATGTAAATATTTTTTATCAATAAAACAATCATCAAAATACTACTATAAATATATGTATAATCTCTGCAAATATTGCAAATCACACGTTGGTTAAATAATTAGTTATAATAGAGTAACATTTTTCAAGTTTAGTATTAATAATCGATTCAATATTTTCAAAAACGAGCAGAGACAGTCTTAGCCTTTAAAAATATCCTTATTCGAAAATATGTTACAGTTCATAAAATGCTACTCAAACATATATTACTTGTCCTAATAAAAGTAACAGCTGAGTAAAATTGTCTAACCTGATGGGAGTGCGATGACCACCGGGCACCACGTCGCATCGCAGTCACCAGGAGGCCGACCTCGCCCTCTATCACGTAGAGGCCGCCTCCTGGATAGGTAGTCTTCCCAATCCTGCTCATCTTTATTTCTGAATCCCGCTTACACCATTTTTATTCAACAAAAATTCTTCACACCGTTCAATAACGTATACGTCAAGTGTCAAGGGAACTTCCAACACGATAGTCATTGACTAACGAACCAGATGTTCAAACGAGAAAATTTCAAGTGACGTTCGAAAAAGAAGTACCGCAATCTATCGACTAGAATTAGCAAATTTGTCGCAAAATAAATCATTAACTCTGTTGATAACTCTAGACAGCTGTGTTAATTGAATACCACAGCTATAACAGTAGTTCGCTGGACTAATTGTACAAGTCTAGAGAGTGCGGATTCGTCTTGAATATTCCTGCCAGAAACAGAAAATATTGAAGTTCACTATCTTGTCACTTTACTTGTCAGCATCGGTATTATACTGTGCAAGATTACAGTAAATTAACGAATCGTGAGTTAGGTATAGAAAGAATAAACCAATATCAAACTTTAGAATCCTGATATATGAATCGTTAAATACAAACGACATAAACTGGTTTTACTATTTAGAAGTCTGATTATAGGAGTTATATGATTCAGTGCTTTATCAAACTGATAGCACATACTTGTGATTTCTTAAGAGAAAGTCATTCTAAATAAAAAAAAATCTGAAAAAATTGACGCGTCCTAAACCTTGACGAAACTAGATTCAATTTAGTTCATATAGGTGTCACAAGGATCAGCAAAAGGATACAACCGATAAAACCAAACGGTTTTCTATTTGGTGCTTAAAGTTGTATTGAAGTTCATATGTGAGTATTAATAAGCCTGGATAAGTAGTTTTTGTTCTTATGAGTGCTTGTATTAATTGTGGTATATTAATTGTCGGTGGTGATGGTTTGACCTGTTAAATATATAACATTTATTTTATTCTTAATACGAATGAGGGTATATTTCTTCATGACTACAGTAGGTAGACTCTTAACACGAGTGGTGAATTTCAATGAATCGAATGTTACGATTCATACGCATTTACTGCTTAAAAAAAATTAATTGGAAGATATTTATAACCTGACTAATATAATTATATGATCAGATTTCATCTGTAAATATAATAAGCAATCAAACATTATCTCTCTAAATTAATAATTTAAAAAATCATAAATTCCATATTGCGTGAACAACAATCAGACATATTTTTAAAATAGAAAATATAGTTATACAGATAAGTTAATCTCTGGAAAATATCAGAGAAAATTGTTTTTATCACAATATTGCATCATAAAGATCAATACAGATAAAACTATTGTGCTCTTACAGTTATGAAAAATATACATGGACTATAGTTATTTGTTCCTCATCATTCATTTGTTTCCTTTAAAATGTGTAGCAATTTATGAGCAAAGAAAGAATTGATAGTGTCTCTATCAAATTTAAATTCTGTATATACCTATATTGAATAGAACTACAAAAGAAAATCATTTACCTGTTAACGAACATTATTTCACATAAAATGGCTGATCTGTTTATAAATGAAGAAACTTTAAAACATACAAAAAATGAAAATTTTGGACATGAAGGTCACTATGCTACACTACGTAATTATGCTTCATAAAGATGAATTACATTGATGAGTTAACTGACACGATAAAAAATGAGCAGATACTTTACCTAGAATTCATACAAATCAATAAAAAACTTCAGAGAGCTTTTGTCAAGTATATATATACATTGGTTTTTTATAATAACAAATTAATAACATAATATGATATAAAATTATTTTTGTATCAAATAGTTGCAGGATCATATATTGTGTAATTTATATTATAATCTTACAAGGTTTGCTTATGTGGAAGTAGAAGTCTCGCACTTCAATGCATAATGAAATAAATGATCTCTATAGCTCAATACAATGGGTTCAGTTTCCAGTACACAGAAAATCATGCCTCCCACTCGAGAACTTGTTGACCAACTCATTGCTTCCGATGTGGTGGTAATATTTTCCAAGACATATTGCCCCTACTGTACAATGGCCAAAGAGGTAAAAACAAATTATTCCTTTCTGTGGAATTAAAGACTACATTGGACAATTGGAAAAATGTATAAAATTATAATATTAATCTTGAATTCTTTTTCACAGGTGTTTGATAAGTTAAAGAAGACATACACTGCCATTGAGTTAGACAAAAGAGAAGATGGTGATGAAATTCAAGCTATACTTGGAGAGATGACAGGAGCACGAAGCGTTCCAAGAGTCTTTGTCAAAGGGGAATGCCTTGGTGGAGGCACTGATGTTAAAGCACTTTATAAGAGCGGAGAGTTGGAAAAGAAATTTTAACTCGTGTTGGCATAATAATCCTTCTAAAATTATGCATAATGAATTTAACTATCACCAGATAGAAAATCATGTTTTTTAAAAATGAAATAAATAATTACTATGATTTTCTGCATGTTTTTTCCTCTATACTTATATCTTATATGAAATTATGAATTAGAAAAATCTAATAGTAGTACATATTATCATTAAAATTTATCAAAATGTGAAAAACAATTAACATACACATGTCAAATTATTATGTTTTAAAAATGTAATGTTGGTTTTACAAAATTCACGCATGATGCGTTTATAAATAACATAAAAATGTAATACTTAGCATGTTTGGTATTCAAAATTTTCTTCAACTATATTGTTGAAAAAAGCTGAGGCCGCGAAATATAAGTAATACACATACCTATGAAGTTCTAAATATGCCCATATAAGTCATTAATCGTTATATACTGGGTGAGAAGGAAAGATAAACATAGGCACATCAATCCGTAAACTTGCTAAGCTTGCCAAATCACCTAAAAATATATCTGTTCTCAAATAGTAGCGTGAGACAGATCAGTCCAGAACAAGTCATTAACGATAATGGACTTCTGGTGGTATAGAAAGTTTCTTATTTACGGACTGACATTTCTTGGCTATGCCTGGTCAGGTTATGGAGCTGGATTGCTTGTCAATTTACGGGATGCTGTACTTACGGCCGAAACCATTTTTGGAGACTTATTCCAAAATGTGATAACAGTTGCTAGAAAGGTTAAGGACATTAATGAAGTTTTCAATGCTGCGGTTGAAGAAAATTGCGTTTTTCAATGTCCGTCAGGTGAGAGTGTGTGACAGTTATGGGCATTTACTTAAAGTAAACCCTAACCCTGAATACCAGAAAACAGATTTTCTGCCTTTTGATTTTAATTTAGAATAGAAAATTATTCGCATAAAGTTGAACAATTTTTTCATTATTCCAGAATAAAATCTTTACGATAATACTTTATAAGTAACTACGTTTCCTTCAAAATCACTAGATCGTTTAACTATCAATAATAGGTTATTTCGATTCATGAAATAGATTGAATCACGTTAGGTACTTATATGCTATGAGTCATTAACGGATATTTTTGTTCACATCTGGCGTGGTCTTCGCTGATTCGTGGATAAAGAAGGAATAATATATTTTTCAGGGGCTACACCAAAACAAAATTGGAATCATAAACCGCAAAGTAATGGATGTGGAACTCTCGGGCTTGAGGTAAATCATTTGATTAACGAAATGATTTAAGTTAACACGAGTACGAATATTAATATGTTTATTGAAATCTAGTAGTGGAAATAGAGCGATATTTATTTACTATTACATACGAATTACTGAAGTAAGACGTAGAACTTATTGTTAATATTCGAATGAAACATACATATTTTCGTTACGCGGCCACTGCACTTTCGGTGTATAATAAAACATACAATTTGCATATAATGCAATGTGTTGCATCATACAAAAAAATGAATGAAACTTGTTTGTCTTCTCGTGATAATAAGAATAGAAATAGAACAGCAATGTAATAGACAAATGCAAAATTTTCTTTTATTCTTCAAAATGTGCAGCATAATTTATGTGATATTCATTTGCATTTTCAGATAAATCAAGAATATTTGCCCCTCTCGGAAATGACACAATGCTGCGATGCTCATGACATTTGCTACGATACTTGCGGCTCTGATAAAGAAAAGTGTGATATAGCATTCAAAAGATGCCTTTATAAATATTGTGACAGCTATGAAAATACTGGTTCGGCTGTAGCAAATACTTGCAAAGCTGCCGCGAAAATGCTTTTTACTGGTACGATTGCATTGGGATGTAAAAGTTATTTAGATTCCCAAAATGAAGCTTGTTACTGTGGGGGTAAGTGGAACCAAAGCAAAAAGCCTAAAAAAGCTGCACAGACCGGTGGAGAACTATAAGAGAATATAAATTCTCTAAATATAAATTCTCTGGTAAATAATAACAGAATTTCTATATGGTCATGTAATATGTACATGAAAAAGCAGCTCTAGCCAAAATTATTAGGATTTTTATTGCAACCCCGTTGTGATTATAATTAGTCCTATACCTAGTTTTCCTTGTAAAGTTATTTTTTTTCGTTTAAAACAACCTATTTTTTGTACAAATAATTTTTATTAATGAATCATGTAATAAAAAGTATCTTGTGACAAAAGTGAGGTGTTTCCTTTTTATGCAGGAATGTGAATACTATACGTTAATGAATTGATAACGGGTACACAGCTTGTGGTCTATTCAGTCCGGTTTACCGCATCCGTTCTAATTTAAAAGTTCTCTGCATCAAGGACTATTTACTATGGTGTAGGATGTTGATATGTAATCATTGTTCATAAATCAAGATGGAATTGAAAACATAAGTAACCTTATTTGAAATGATTAAAACAAAAAAAATAGAACAAGACACCTTGAAGAAAATAAAATTTCAGTAATTCACATCCTGTTGTTGCAAATTTAGGACAATCCTTCACTGTGAACTTAGTATAAAATTATATTTTCACAACAAAAACAAATATAAAAAATTGTTTCATTAAAAATAAAGAAGAATCATGGAGAAATGTCATTTTGACACCGGCCATTTTCGTATTAATCAGAAGTAATTCGAATACCATCAAATTGTAAAAGTGATGCCGTGATCAGTTGCATTTTGCGAAAGCATAATATAAGAACAACAATGGGTAACGGAAACTCGACACCAAATTGTAAACAGCAAGAAAAACGTAAAACAAGACTGGCCAGGTAAGGTGCCCAGAGTCGAAATTTTAACCATAAAAAAAGAGCGTCGCAAATTTTCCTTTCTGCGTAGTACAGATGAATATTCCGGTAGGAATAAAGTCCATAAAATTGGCAGAGGTGGCCGGACCACGAATCCTTTCATCGTCTTCTTCCTGCGTCTACGTAGCAAAAAGCCAAGTAAACCGGTTACAGAGATTGCCCGCCTGGCAGGAAAGATTTGGTCACGAATGTCTGTAGAGGAAAGAAAAAAGTATATCGATCTGGCAAATGCCGAGAAGAAAAGACGCGAGCAAAAGAGACGCAAGCGAAAATGCTCCCGTAGGAAATGACACGTTAATCTCTCGCAAACTAGTCAAGATTGAAGTCAAATCCTGTTCGTTGAGCGTTGACGTCCAATACAGTCAAAAGTCAAAGCAGCGACTATTTCGTAAACTTAAATGAAACTTTAAAAATCCTCTTTGATAATTCCAATGAAAAGTCCCGTCTTATATTCTTCATTTTCGTTTTATTTGTTAGTAGTTTTTTTTATAACTATGTACAATAAATATTGATGTATTTTTACACTATATCTTAGAGACCTTCCTTATCACTTAAAAAGAGTTATGCTAAGAACTTAGCCGTTATAACCGTCACTCTCGCTTGTGCCGACCGCGAAAGAAATAAATGTCAAACCAATATTTCGAAAACGCGTATGTACCATGAATTCTTTGAGACGGGCTATTCGGCAAAAACCGGGTCGAATCTTTTTATTTTTCCCTCTAACATTCCAGGGCACACTGGAATTGGCCACCCGTATGTATTCGTGAAAGATTGTGCAACGATAGAGAATTTACTCGGATTCTTTTTCGTAGGTATTTTGCGATAATACAAAAAATACTTTTTTGTAGGCATGTGGAATAGCCCGCTTTTCTTCTTCGTATTTATATATATAGTATGTATATTATGTATATTTCCGTACAATAGTCGCGTAACTCTTTTCATCAAGAAATGTATATTGTACACGCGTGTACTTTCTGTGCTCTCGCGTTCAGCATGCCGTCTCGTAAAATACTAATTGTAAGTAATAAAACGTTACAATACGAGAAAGCGCTAGTGATTGAATGAGTGTGTGAATCAGTGTACGTTTCTTACGTGATACGAGTAAAATATAATAATGCGTGTCTGCAGTGTAATAGTAATAATAATAATAATGATAATAATCGATAATAATAATAATTAATTATAATAATAGCGATAAGTAGTTTTATGATACAGTAAAGTACAGCGTGCCCCGAAACGTAAACAACAACGTTCAACAATCGATAATATCAAACAGAATATTATTTGTAAGTATTTATATAAATATTATGATACACAAAACGTAACACTGTATTGGAAAATTGGGGAGGGGGGAGGGGGGAAAGCAGGGCGAGAAAAAGAGGGATTGGAGAATTAACCGGGAACATGAGGAATGCCCTGCGAAAAGTAGGAATTTCAATTTACACAAAAATTTGGGAATTAAGGGGGGCAGGTCAAGGAATTCAAGATCATATTGGGATTTTCTTTTTGCGTCTATACATCAAACTTCCAGCAATGTAATATATCTTAGTTTTTCGTTTGAAACGCATAAATGTACAAACCTATGCGTTATCGAGTTATTCCGATGATAACAAGAATTGTACCTTTGAACAAATTTCGTGATAACCCGTCGAATGTTCCTTCGTTGAGATTTCAACAATAAGTAAATTTGAACAGTTAAACTGTATATTTTAAAATGTAGAGAATTGTGTCTAGGGCGAAGACTATGCTTTCAGAAAAGTATTTAAATCCTATGGGGGTTCGAGTAAAAATTTATTCGAAGTCAAAATTTCATCCACAGATCACCATAGACGAAGAAGATGATTTGAACGACTTAGTGAATGGTGCCCTCAAAATATACCTCTGTGCGATATTGTACAATTCGCGAATCTTTAATGGATGTGATTACGAATAAATTTATTATCTCAAGATCCAACGCAATACTGGAAGCAAACCCGCGGGGAAGTAAAAGTTCTTAGTTCTAGAAATTAACTGAACGCAAGTGTAAAACGCATCAACGGGAGTCGAATTTTTTTTTTGAGATAAAAAGAGGCTCGTGTCAATGTTCGCTAAAAAAATTACATCTTGGATTAGCCTCACCGCGGCATCGAAGTCAGGGTAAATAGGAGGGATCGGGTTGGGTTTGAGTATGAAGAGCTATTGGATGAACAATAGATTTTAGGTTAGTTTCTAAGGCTAACGTGGTCTCATGGTACCGTTCAGTGGCTGCATAAGGCTTCCGTTGATGTAACCGTGGTACGTGGTGTACACAGGGTTCTGTTGATGAGGATCCTGGGAGTACGGTGCTGGTACATTGACCACTCCAACGGGTAACTGACTTGCCTGGTTCATGAAACCACCCAGCTGGGCTGCCTGGTTCATATAACCGGTCGCTGGTTGCGCAACTCTGTATCCGTATTGTGCCGCGGCCATCAGGTTTGTATTGAGTGCAACATTTGGACTGACCCTGGTCGCTGCACTCTGCATCTGAGGACAGGCACCACCAGGATCGAGAGTTTGCCTGTAAAGACTTTCACTCGCGTAGGGTTGTGCCAAAGAAGCCATATTCGCATTGGCCGAGGATCTTGAAGTGGATCTGCTCGATGGACCAGGTGTTCCTGGTGGTGGAACGGTATTTACATTGTAGTAGTTTTTCGTGTACCCCAGGGGTACCTGCGGCGGGGTTGGCAACTGTCTCGAAGTCTGCGGCGGTGTCATTGTGTGGGGTATAGGTGGTGGTGGTGTTAAGTTCATTGGAGGTGGAGGTGTTGGCGGGATCATCTCAAGACCATTGGTGAGCTGCTGGAGCTTGGCAAGGCTATGAGAGTTCGCAGCCTGATGGTTTCCAGAAGGGGCGAGACTCGGAGCTGGCGTGTGTGAATGTGGCGGCATCGCGCTTGTCTGTATGTAAAAATTTGTCGCTGTCGTGCTGGGTGTTGGTGCCCCTGATCTTGTCCCTCTGTGTTGAATTACGTAAGTATTCTGCGTGGGAAAGGCCTGCGAGGCTACTGCCATGTAATTCCCTTGGGATATCATGGCATGAGAGTGAGCGGCATGGCTATGTGAATGGTGAGGAACCGGCGGCACCGTCATTGACGATGTCTGTTGGTACTGGGGTGGCAGATGCGTTCCGTGAGCCACGGTACTGTGACCTGGGTGGGCCGTAGTGTGTTGAGAACTCTGCGTATGAGACGTTGGAGGAGTAGCACGATGAGATCTGCTACTCTGCTGCGTGGACCTCGACCTGTGAGTTGTCTGCGACCCGCTTGCTCTCTTGCTGCTGTGGGATTGGGTCTGCTGATGTGCCGGTTGACTGTGACCCATCGGCTGCTGATTCTGACTTTGCTGCGCCAATGACAATTGCATTGGCTGAGGGGTATGGCTTTGCGGTATAGGCTGGGGAGTGTGACTCTGCGGTAAAGGCTGTGGAGTATGACTCTGTGGCATCGGCTGAGGACTCTGCGTTGGTATACTCTGAGGAGTGTGCGACTGCGACAGAGGCTGAGGCGTATGACTTTGTGGCATAGGCTGAGGACTTTGAGTTGGTATGCTCTGTGGAGTATGTGACTGAGGTGTTCGAGGCTGCTGCAGAGGCTGTGGTGTGTGTGGTTGGTGCATTGGGTGTATTGCCACATGTGCTGGAGGAGTATGTTGTGGCATGCTACAGTCAGCGTACTGCACTTGATTAGGAATATTAACAGAGACTGGCGGTGCAGTTATCTGAACTGAAGTTGAAATTGGAGCGGGAACCGATGATGGCATAGATGGTAACGCGCTCGGTGGCCTCTCTACGCTGTTCTGGGACGCAAGATCGCTGGCTATTGATGTTGGAGATTCTAGGCCCAATTGACTTACATCAAGATCACATTGCCCGTAGTGTAATGAATGTACGGAATTTGTCGTAGAATCCGGTGTGTAGACGCCCATAGATGGTAGGTCCGGCTGAGACGGCGGAGTTCTTTTAACTGAACCAGGATTTTCTAAATGTGGAGTCGTTTTCCCACTTTCAGGCGAATGTTGTTTCTCCTCAGGTTGGGCATGAAGATGGCCCGTATCCTGCTCGATAATGGGAATGGATAGTTTTTCTTGAGATGGCGTTGGTGGGGTTTCGGCAGCTGCGGAGACAACGGGAAAATCTTTCTTCACAGGTATATTCAACGAAGGACTCTCAGATTTTGGATGAACCAAAGTCTCTTTGGTATCCTTGGCCCTGTCCCACGTTTTACTTTCACTGGGACTCTGGTCGTCTGATAGGAAGTTTTCTGACTTTTCATGAACTTTTTCCGCTAGCAAAGGAGCCGGCGGAACTGCCGCTGGTGTCTCTACTTCAGGTGCAACGTCTTCTTTTGGAGTTTCCTGTGTTTCCTTAGGTTCCTTTGGAGATTCCTTTAATTGCTCAGTCTGTTCCTCTGCCGGTAATTGCAGTTCAGTTTTCTTTGGACTTGACTTTTCCACGCTTTTAGAAATTTCTCTGTCCTGACTACTTTCCTTCTCACTTTTTTCCTTCGTTATACACGGCGAAATGCAATGAGACTGTGGAATTGACTTGGGCCTCGGAGCAGGTTCTTCTTCCTCGCCCTCGTCCTCGTCGCCACCCTCGTATTCCCCTGGACTTGCAGTAGGAATTTCACTGTCCGCCTGGGTAGCTATCGTGGAATCTTCTACAGACTTGGTTTTACTTTCTTTCCGGTCACTTTGCCTTGGAAACATTTCCGGAATGGTTAATTGTTTGCTCGGTTTGTCTTGCACTTCTTCGAGCGATGGAGACAGAGATGGGGTCGAAACGACTGTATTCTCCTTCCTTCCTTCTTTCTCAGAAGTTTCCGATTTAAGCTCAGTCACCTTCGCAGATTCCACAGCACTGGCCTTTGTTCTACCGCGTCTCGATACCGTCGACGAAGTTTTGACTTCTTTAGCTTCGTCCTTCCCATTACACTGTGCATCTTCGAGAGCCTTCTTTTCTTTAGCCTGTTTAGCTTGAAGATATTTTGTTTGTCTACTCGTGACTTTCATCAAGATATCGTCCAGTTTGCTCTTCTTCTTCGTGGGTTTCTGAACAGCAGGCGTCTTCGCTGTTGTACCTGATGACGCGTCCTTTGGTGGCGTTTTCGGAGGTTCCGCTGGACTCTCTTTCTCGGCTTCTTTCACCTTTTCTTTCTCCACCTCCTTTTCCCGTTCTTTCACCTTCTCTTTCTCTTTTTCCTTTTCCTTCCCTCTCTCCTTCTCCTTCTCCTTCTCCCGTAAAGACTCTCTGGTACGTTTCCTGCTATTTTCTACCTTCTCTTTGTCCTCGGACTCAGTCTTTTCGGAATGTTTACGTTTTCTAACAGGCGTAGGAGCTGGTGTCGGTGTTTCCACAACTGATGCTTTTGCTGTTCTTATCCTTCTCCTGGAACTAACGATTGGCGTAGCCTTCGCCGTATTTGCCAGTGCAGCACTTTTTGGAGTCGTCAATCCTCTTGTCTTACACGTCGATACGTTTTTACCTTCTACCTCCATATCCTCTTTTTCATCTTCAACGTCAGCTACATTTCCACTGTCCTTCTCTAGCTCTTTAACCCGTTCTTTAGATTCCCTTCGAACCATCCGTTGTGGCGTTTTCGGTTTTAACGGTGACGACTTTCTCGCTGCATTTCTTCGACCCCTAGGCCTTTTTTTGATCTTCACTCTTTGGATCTTTTCGACGATCGTCGGAATTGGCTTTGGTTCCGCCAGAGGAGAAGCTTCCGAACTTGTTTCCCCGCCTTCTTCCGGACTCTGATACGGATTTGGAATCTGTGTAAGTAACGGAATCCACCTCAGACAGTCAGGGTCTAATTTGATTCTTGAACTCTTTCGAACCTTCGCCATATGGGCATCAACCTTATCCCAATCGACAACTACAGCCAATTTAACCTTTTCTTCTCCAGGAAGGTAAACCGACCTTATAAAACCTAGCAACTGCATAGCCATTGCTATGTCGTGCGCCGAGACTCCTGTTTCCTTTGTAATATCGCCCAATTTTATCTCATTTACTGCTCGATGTGAGTCCAGATATTCCAGCACCACGCTTTTCCAAAAGGAATGGTAAGAAACCCGACCGAGATCGGAAAGTGGTTTTTCCGGTGTACCTGGGATAGCTTCCACTTTTGATAAAAGGTAGCTGAACTCTATGAGAAACCTTCCAAATCCTTGTCTCTGATACTGTGGCAAAGTCATGATGCAGGAAACGTTGTAACGTTGAGCCGGACAGTGTTTTTCTTTACTGAAGTAACCAATTAAATGGCAACCGTACTTGTCGTTCTTTGTTACTGCATAAAACAGGAATGGTTCCACGTCGTAGTAAAGGGTTTTATGATCCAAAAAGAGTTTTGCCAATAGACACAAGTTCTGACAATAAATCTTATTCACATTACCATCGATCTGAAACAAACAAAATGAGCTCTTAGTACATTCGATTCTTTCGATTTAATTTTCATCAAGCATCGATGTAACTTATATAAAAACTTTCAATAGGGTTACATGAAAACAACATTTTGATCGTTTTCAGATAATTCAGATACAATATTTCGATATTTCACGTCAATCGAGTAAAAAGGGTCGAACATGACATTAGCTTTTTATGTTTCAAAAAATCGAGCGCTTTTTAGATATAGACGTTCTTAATTCTATTTTAAAATATGCCTGAATCCAATATTTACCTCAAAAACAGAAAGACCGTTACATCGGTATATTTCTGTAGCGGGAGGATGGCGCCATTGACATTTGTCCATATGCCTATCCAGAACTGCTCGACTCTTCGTGTATTTCAAACAGAATTCACAGAAGAACAGTTTCGGCAATCTAGCGTACTCCTGGGGAAAAGGACTGGAGTACCACGTTTCAACTTCATAGCGGCCAAAAACTATAACCGCTGGATTTCTCGTGCCAACTCCAGGTCCAGTTCCTCCAGGACTAGCGGAAACTCTGGTATCCTCATCTTCGCTAACCACTGTGAGACGATTAGCGCGTTCTCTGGCTTCTTTAAAAAGGTCCACGTCCTTCTGCGTAACCCCCGGAGGCAATGTTTGGGGCGGCGTGGAATCGTCTGTAAAATAGGGAAATATTGCTTTCCATTTGTCCGTTCGTCCGTCCATTTTGTCTATCTGTCCATTGTCCCACGGCATTTGTATTGCAAACAACAGCGACAAATCATGTTGAAAATAAATTCATATAAATTACGACACACCTAAGAAAGTCACTGATCAACAATGCCTATTAACCCTTTCCCGTCAAATTCTGCAAAATGACTATTTATCGGGGAAACATTTGCAACTGATAAAATAATTAATCAACCAAGTCAATGTCTTAATGTGCTTTTGTAGTTTGGAAGAAAAATACTCAAATGAGTGATACAGTGTCTTTTTCACAAACAATCGACGGAAGTGAAAAATTATATCTGGTCAATCTGACCAGAAAGGGTTAAAGGTTAGATTAAGAAGATAAAAGAAATGGTTTCAATAAGTATCTTAATTTTTATATGAAATTGGACATTGTTTCTAATTCCAATTGACATCAAAGTCACAAATGTAGGTTAATACATTGAAAGCTTTCATTATTCACCAGAAATAGAAAGACTAATTCAAATAAGCGTGACGTTCCAATTGAATTGCATGTGCGTTCCGAGTATTGATTTTCATCGTGAAATGCTCGGAATAACAGGTCAGCGACAGCAGCACGAGTTTACCTCTAAATTCCAAATAATTCCAATTTTGTGCAATATATCTATAAAACGATCAAACGTTACAAAAGTTCAGAACTGCCATTTTTACTATTCAAATCCTGGTTAACTTGAATTATTTACAAGAAAATGCCTCATTTTATATATAAATAAAGTTTGCACATAAGATTTGACCACCTCAGGAAGAACACTATTTTAAGAAAAGAAATGAATAATCGCTAACTATCTCCCTTATCGATTATATAATCAAGTATAAAAAATATTGACATCAATAGACTTCATCACCAAAAGGGATGATCTCTCTGTCTCTGGTGTAGAGTGAATACAGTGTGAATACAAGTAAGAAAGTATAATACTAAATAAATAAAAAGGGAAGGCTAGATAGGACGACACGGAGTGACTTGTATAAACAAGGAATGAATAAGTGCAAGTGGCAAATGAAAACTGAGTGTTAATTATGTGAGTAATAAAAAAAAAAAAAGCGAAGCTTCTCGAAGGTTGAGCCGGTTTGGCAGGATGTGTTGGCTAAGTGTCATGGAATCGGCTCTCCTGCAGCAAGAGATATTACGTTAGAAATGATTAAGAGCACTTTTCATGAAGGATTAAAATCAATGTTATGTATTGAATACGGGGTGGAGCGAATTACAAAAATAAACAATCCAAAAAAAATTACGCCTGCTAGGTCTTAACAGCAGCAGGTAGGCTTCAGTGAATACAACATGACAAATTGAATATCACTCGAGGTCCTACTTTACATATGATTTTATTATTGTACTTAGGTAATGTCCTACAGGGGGGAGGGGGGAGGGGGGGGTCCTACAAAAAAAAGAGATAGATCAAGAGACCACTGAGTGTCTGCCGGTGTAACCAAATTCGTATAAGTTAGCAGCTAACTCAAAAATTCTAAATACTCTTTTATGAAACGTAAGTAAAAAGATGAAGAAAAGAATGAAAACAGGTAAACAATCCGGATTCCTGAGTCAGCCATATTGTCAGCACGCCAAATTCTCCAAAGAGGCAAAACACTTTGACTGCATTGGAGAACGAGGCGTACCAAGAGTCATTAGCATGCAATTAATTAAGTGTTACCCTGTATGATATGGTGTGAACAGAACGAAAGGAAAAGTAAGTGGTAGAACCAGGAACGTGGTAAAAAAAAAATATACATGCAAGTAAACGCTAAAAGTCGTCAAAGTGTAAAATAAATGGAGATGATACATGTGTGCCAAGTCTAGTATAAAAGTTTTTCGTCAACGTGGAGACGGAAGTTTAACTGAGAAGAATTTCATACTCGAGTATATGGAATTCAGTTATTAATATATCTATGGAGATCAGCCGCATGTCCAAAAACCAGAACTAGGACAGACAGACAGACTGACAGACTCCAATTATTTTACACTTTATACACTGCGTTCTGGAAGCATACAGCAAAAACCTGATTGTTCGGGGTACGAAAGAGATTGGCGGAACGCGACAATCTGTACTAGCTGAATTGTTTAAAACAGAGAACGCGCACCCCTCTCGAGTATCTCGGAGTGATTGAATGTAAAAGAGCGCCATCGGAACAATCACGTTATCCTGAAAGAAGGTATGTCACACGCACACAGACACACATCATACCACACCACACCGCCAACACATCCACGGTGGTGAGCAAGGGATTAGATTAGAGGGATGTGGTTGTTCTTTTTGCGATGGGGTGCAACGTTTCGGATGGGGATCATCGTGACTGGGTTGGGGTAGACTCTTACCCTTCCTGGTGGAGCAGGGTGTCGCGCGGGGTGTCGTGGTGGTGTTGGTGGTGGTGGCGCTAGTACAGGCTCGTGGGCTGGATTTCGGATTGGGATTGATGGGGCCGGGATGAGACTTATGGGGGATTGCGGCGGGCTCAGGGTGGCGAGTCTGGATACTCTGGGTGCTCTCCGTAATCGCTTGCTTCTTTCGCAAGTCGTTCTTTGTCGGATCGGAGAGTGATAAGTTGTCCCCGCTGCATTTCACTGCCTGCTCTTTCATCATCTTTCTCCGCTCGTGCTCGTGCCTTTTGCTGTTAACCGCGGTCTTCACGAGATTCGACGGAGTCATTTTTGGTTCGCTCTCGAATAGACTTTCGTCGGATGGCGTGAAAATTCCGGGTCTTGGTACCCTAGACGGCTCGGACTCCTCTTTGTCTTCAGTCTTTTTCCTTTCGGATCTGACTCGCTCGTCCTCGTGCATCTTCGGCACCACCGTATTGCTTTTCGCTGATTTGTGCGGTTTGCTGCTGCTTGTGCCAAAGTCATCGGCGTTAGGCCTTTTCCTTCTGTCAGGAGCATAGTTTGGTGCCTGCGCACCCGATCTGACCCTACTACTATTGCTGGGTGCTGAAAAGAAGTGGCTTAAACCATCGAAAAGACCTTTCAGCTGACCACTACCCGGTTTTACTTTGCTATCGGAAGCATATCCACCGGTCGTTGGGTTTCGCTCCTTTTGCTTCTTTTTCGAATCGGCTGGACTTGCTGCGGGCTGAATGTGAAGCCCGAATGTTGGTTTATTGCTGAGATCTAGCTTGGGTAGAGGGGCACCAAAAGTGTTGGTAATGTTGCTGAAGAACGGAGACTCGACGTTAAGCTTAGCAGCAGCTGCAGCGAAACCCCACGGCTTGTCCTCGTTCAAATCGCAAGAGAACGGACCACCAGGCTTTTGAGGTTCCGAACGTCCCTCTTCGCATTCCTCCGACGAACTGGAATCGCTCGACTCGCTCGAACTCCCTTCCTCCTCATCATTTTCATCGTTTTCGTCATCGTCATCCGAACTCTCGCTAGCCGAAGTATCACTGTCACTGGCCTCGCTACTGCTGCTGCTGGACAGAGTCGGTACCCTTCTACCGGCTAGAGCTTTCTTAGGGGTGGTACTCCCCCTAGAAGACCTAGGACTAATGCTCTGCGAGGATCTAGATTTATTACCGCCCCCCACCCTTTTCAATTTATTATGGTCCGCATTGAACGCGCTCAACCTAAAGAACTTTTGCTTCTCCTTGGAGATCCGATCGTTCTTTTCCTCGAGGAGCCTACCCTGGCCTGCGAGTTGGGTGGGGGCTTGTGATACGGGAGAGGACATAAGGGCTGGTTGACGAGGGGAGACAACACCCGCATTACCGTCCGAGCTGCTGTCCACCTGTGCCACCGCAACGCTGCTTTTCTTGCCAGGGGTCGACACCGTCAGGCTCTTTCTTGAAACTCCCGACCTGCAGATCGTCAAACAAACTCTTAATATAAATCAAATAGACTTTTCATACTCTGTGAATGCACTCTGTTTTATCTACAAAGTATGGTCTACGCTATAAGTCAGTATATCTAAAAAAAATATATATATACCAAAATCCCTTTTGAGAACTCACTTTCTATTTTCCCGCATTTTACTGAGCCTTTTTCGCGTACTGGTAGGAGTATTGCCGTCGGCCGACGAAGCTGTGTCTTGATTCTTCTGCTTCTTGGCATCGTCCTTCGGGGTGTTCGGCGTATGAGCCGTCTGACAATGTCTACAACTCCACGGCGCCTTATTCTTCTTATCGAGCGCGGGATCCAAACAACTCGGATGATAACACTTAACGCAACCCGCACACTTCACCAAATAGTTCTGAGACTCTCGCTCCAGTTTGCAACCAGCGCACGTAGGAGAGCAATCGTCGCAGGACCACGTTGCGCCCCTGTCGACGAGAATCGAGAGTTCCGCGGGTGCACAAGAGTTGTGCAACGCTGCACCACAGACGCTGCATCGGCTCAACTTTTCTGCTACGTTTCGCTTCGTATTGTTGTTGTTGCTCGCTGTCGTAGCTCCCAAGCATTCCTTGCATATTGGCAGAGGGGCCGGCAGCTGTAAAAGTAAAGACAACATTGATTAATAAAAAAGACATTAATATTACCCTAATAAGTATACGATAAGAAAATATTCAATACAAAAGAACAAGAGTTCATAAGAAACCAAACACCCGTAAAATTTTTACTATAATTTCCACCTCAAATAAATTCACGTTAAATTCAATTACTGTGTCGCGTGGCACCCAGTCACAACGTTTACGGGATATAAAATACAAGGCGAACCAGACTCGATCCCCATTGCCCCAAAACATTATACCGGGTGACTCACTGGAATTATACGTGCGTTATCGTACGACGGCAAAAGTACGTTCCCAGATCAGCAGGAGGGCAGGTACAAGATATAGGGGTCTAATTAAGAACAGTTGAGGGGTCAGTAGTCCACGACTAGGTAATTGATAGCGAGTATTAATTTATCTTGAAGGTATCCGTTTTTTTTTTTTTTCCTTTTCTTTTTAACACAATGGTTCACGGTCGGACAGTTCCGTACAAATATACCATTCGTGACTCGCTTGCGTATAGTTGAATATCGGACAAGGAAACATTGTAGACACAACTAGCAAGACGAATAATTATTCATACCGACATTGCTTCAAGTTTTATCTTGGCATCGGGAGGGTGCATCTCATTAATTAAATATGTATGGGTTCACGGCATATGTATGCGGTGCATATACCGAAAAGATGTCTAATTGGAAGAATGAAGGATAAACCAGTTCCATATACGTTGCCCACGAAAAACCTGACGCTATGACGTTATACCATATACAGGCTCATCCAAAAATATACAAGGGAGTTGGGCCCATGAATGGATGACTCTCGTGAATGGCAAGTAGCCGCTTAAGGCACGACGTTTTAACCGCCGGTAAACTGTATGTGGAAAAACAAAATTTTTTGTCGCCTTCGACCACTCTTATCAGAGAGATACGCAAGTGCCAACGTAAACAAGGGATTGTTAAAAATAATAATCTATCAGCGGGACACACGTTCGTTCAACGTTATATTTACGAAGTTTGTTGACGTTAATGCAATTATTATGTATAACAGGCAGACATTACGATGTTATACGTTAGGTTATGTCAACGTTTCCATAATCTCTGAATTTTCGTTATCAACAGGAACTTAATGAATATCCTGAATGCTCATTATGCATAAGTGCATACGTACGATCTTATACTGGGTAGTCCAATCGAAAGTGGTTAAAACAAGAAATGGCCTTTCGTTGTTGTGCGTGTATTCATTTAAATCACTCTTGTTACACGCGGTGTATACATTTAAATGACTTTTTATATATTGTACGTGAGAAAAATTCACGTGAGAAATTACTTTTTTTTCCATCTAAAAGCAAATTTCGTAATTTTACGCATTTTGGGCAACGGTTATTATAAATAACGGTTTCTTTTGGTGCTTTCTAAATTTCACGTTCTCTTCCGGAAAAATTATTTTTGTAAATAGAATTTTTCGAAATACCAATATCAGGCGTGAGGGGAATTACTTGACAGTTCAGACATTCTGAAACTCAAAATTGGAAGCAGTTCCTTATTCCAATCAATACCACATTATCGTTTACGACTGACTTCAGAGTTTAAGAGCACCTTTTTAAAACTTCGTCCCGCAGCATCCTTCGATTTAATTAAATAATGATAATTCCGACATTTTTCAACGAGTAATTTAATTATATCTTTACGGTTCTATTGCTCCGATCTGGTTGTTACAATTTTCAATTATTCCCAACATTCGACAGATGCATTCTTCGATTTTCATGAGAAACTGGTTAAACAATTTTTCAATACCGAATAATATTCTTAACTTTTCCTCCAAATTTGTAGACCGAAAATATTTACCAAGTCGTTCAAGCCTGCGAATATCGGAATTGTCTAAAATTAATGACTGTACAGATATAGATAATCCAATATCTCAAACTCGAGAAAACTACCGGAAATACAGTGTAACGTGAAAATCCAAATATACCGACTGTATCATCACAGATTATCTTTCGGTAAACACAAGAAGTTTTCATAGTCGAGTAATTCAATAAACAATTTAACGTGGGAACGAGTCACGAACATTTGCGTACAAGAAGGCTACAGCGTGTACACAAAGCAGTACTTTGTACACAGTAAAGTCAATTCATCATCATCACAAGAATTCTGTAAACCATATTACGGTTACTTGAGAGCACAGAGTAAGAAATGCGGTCGCGAGATAATCGCGCACATTGCAATTTGTATCTTATCGCGATTACGTAAAACATAAAGGAAGCAAATACAATCTTATCCAGATAGCGTCACGATACCGGTCAAAAATATTATCCAAACAGATTTAAGAATTTTTGTAAATAATTGGAGAACGTAAAAAAAAAGCAACTGTAAAGCTGCCAATAGGTAATAAGAATATAATGTAGCTGGCTAACTTAATATTAACGATTTATTTCTATCGAGGGAGAACGAGCAACACTGTTTCAGTTCCATGTAGCAAATCCCCAAATGGGTTCATCGTACGGAACGCGGAACGGAACGTAATCGCTCAAAGACACGGTTCAGCCAATAAACGTCTTTGTACGAGCAACGACCTGTTGCACGCTAAAGGCGAACAGAAAAGCGAGAGAATCAAGAGAGAGAGAGAGAGAGAGAGGGGGGAAGGGCGACCAATCACCAAGCAAGTGGCAACTGATTGGACGATTAAGCGGTTAGCCGATAAATCAGCAACTCACTGCCACTACACTACAATCTCCTCCAAGTTCTCCTTAGGAGCGTTCCTTTTTTTTTAATTCCTAATTCCACGCGGAAGACAACTTATTATCAGTGTCATTAGTCGATCTCCGATAATTCCCAATAGAATCTACATGCCGAGGTATATATTTCATAAGGATGTCATCCTCCGCCTCTGTCAACTATCAATATTATTACACATCAATATTATTACACGTCAACATTGTCAGGTTTGACGTTCTCTAACATTAATCCTCTTTGAGTACTATCGACCAACTGTATACGTAAAACTGATTATACGTGTCATCGAGGCGTTCCTAAAGTCACTGAACGCGTTGAGACATGACCCGCAAATGAATGTGAACACGGCTTACGAAGGGATTGCGTCATTCGGTACGAATGTGAGCGGGTCGTAAAAAGCGCGGGAAAGTCAGAGGCAGTCGTTGTGACGGCGAAGAAGGTGCCAGAAGGAGTAGACGGAGGGGGGATAGAGGGGGGGGGGAGGCAAACCGAATCGCTGAACCACCCGAATAAACTGCCGAACCACCTGACTGCTTGCGTCGGCGTTCTCTACCGCCTGCTGCTCCGACAGGCACGAAACGTCGGTGAAAGAAAAAAGAGTCATTCCGCGGAGGATCAATATGAGAGAACGATATACAAACGAGTCGCCGGAAGTCGGCCCAGATAGCTTGGCTCTGCCGACTATTGAAGTTGCGGCTAAGTTCACCCCAAGGCGTGGGCACGCTGCGTGACTCGCCAACTCGAAGAAATAAGCGTAACGAGAGCGTTACCCGTACGACTATTATTCCTCTATCGGGCGTCCTGTCCTCGAAAATTATATCCCCACTTTAATCTCAACTTCGCTCCCACGGTCTTATTTAAATGCTACGTATTTTTTTTTTCGCTCGCCTATTTTCACTCAATTACGTGCTTCTTCGTCTCGAGGGAGACTTGCGTAATTAAAAATCAAATCATTAATTGTTAGCGACTAATTCTTAAAACATTAAACTACTTATCTCATGATTCATGAGGTTTGCTTTGTTAGGCTTTCGGATTAAGTCTTACAACGTACTACGTACTACGTACTGCTAATACGTAGTGGGAAACTATTAATTTCATACTTTACAACGGAATAGTTGCCAGCGTTTAACAGCACGCTGATGTGTATATTTTAATTCAATCGGTTCCACGTGTCAACTTGGAGAGTTGGCACTATGATTAAAATGCACACGTAACACAATGTAACCGAACTTCCAGTGAATTTAGTTATTAAAATAAATCGTGCTCGTTCCAAGTCAATTCCTCGTGGCGAGTCTTTTATTATCTACGATAAATCATATAAGCTCGTCCGTTCCTTTGCGTTATACGTGAAAGTGAAAATTAATTTCTCAACCGAAGAAGAACCATCAACTATGCCGGTAAAAGAATTGTAAATCGGTCACGTTTTATTTGTTCATTTTAGAAACTCAAGTCGTACCTGGAAGTAGGTACAGACTGCATCAAGACTTTTGTTGCACGTTTGATTCCCGAAGTTTTCGTTAAAACAGAGCGCGAACAACAAAAATTGACATGACGTCAATTGCTATATGTACAGTAATTACGAAATGCAACTTGAAGATAATTATGTTGATACTACTTGTTTGTAGATCCATTACGTATTTAAATACCGCTTTTACGATCGTTACGAATGAGCTCGTTGTGATATCACTGTATCGGTATTCCGACTGAGAAGTCAACCTTGCTTCGCTGAGACACCCTGTATAAAGAAGCAGTGAACGGACACGGCGGCAAGCTAAATAATCCCGATGTATATACCGATACATATCAGAGGTTTACTATACTCGGTGTTTAAGAACGAATAAAGATTTTACAGAGTTCAAGGTCGCGATACGCTCGCTACTGCCATTAGGATTGAGGTCCCTATTCATAGAGAATTCAAGGGCATAACAATCTACTGGCTATAAAATTAGTCTAACTACTATTTCAGTTTAATAGATATAGAGTGGCAATTTCCGACTTGCGGAACACACTTTTATATATGCTTTTAAAATGAGACGCAACGTATATTCTTTAATTATATTCGTCATCGACGATTCGACGAAGAGCATTTAACCAAGTTATACGAAGTATTATTGACCACGACGCCAAAGAAGGGTCAATAATCGAATTACAGCGTCAGTATATCATTCGGTAAAAACCCTTAAAGGGTGGTCCTTCAGTGTGGCAGCTTAACGATCAGACTTCCTCGAGAGTTTACCCGGTACTGGTGAAATGTCTTGAATCAAGTATCCAGCGATTACTTGAACTTTAGCAAGTGTCCGCAATAGATATTTTCCAATTATAATGAAATTGCCAACAGGCACGGGTGATCGCTGCCTTATAAGGCTTGCAACTGTTTTTTTGTTTTTTTTTTTGTTTTTCAAGCTGCGCTTGTAGATCAGACTCGGCTAACGATGACAGACACGACTCTGTACCACTTTCAGTGGTAAGCATGAAAACCAATACAGCGTTGCTCGTACCTTCGGCTAAAAGTATTGAATTTTATACATGACTCATGGGTGGAAAAGCATTAATTATACAGTTAGACTAAAAATAAGTGACGAAAGACTCACCTTATTCGGCAACGAATCGGACGAAAGGTTATGGGAGGTCTCCGGTACCTTCTTGGCAGAATTGGGTGGTCTGTCAGGTTGCCTGAAGAGCCGCCCATCCTGTATAACGAATCCTCTATCAACGGCCCTCTTGGCCGAGAGCCTCAGGGCAGTCCTGAGGTCGCCGTCGGCTTCTTCCTCCACGGTGTGACTCTGCCTCACGTACTTCTCGATGTTCTTAAGATTTGAGCCATCGCGTTCGCCGAGTTCTCGAACGGCCTTGCCGACGACCTTGCTCAGGTCTGTGGCCTTGCCAACCTTCAAAGGCCTCGACTGCAGCCCACCCGGATCCTTGTAGGACGACTGGCCCTTGTTGAAGATCTTGAGAACGTCACCGCGCTTGACGGCGATCTCCAGGTGCTCCGCGATCTCCTCCTCGTGGTAATTGTGGTGCTGACGGATCGCGTGGCATATCCGCTCGACACTCGGTCGCTGTTTCTGGCTGCGGATCTTACGGATCGCGTCCAGAAACCAGGCCGACCACGTGTCAGCGGACTCGTGGTCCCCCATCTTTTACCCGCTTTTATCCGTGAACTCCTCGCATTCACATTATGTCGCAACCTCCAAGACGCCCGCTCCTCTCCAACCTCCACTTTTTCCAGCCTGACTCTGTAAAAGAAATTATTATTTTTTTCTCTCAATAACTTTCAAGCAAACACGGCGTTACCTTGTAATCGACAAAATGCGTATAACGACTGGATCGCGAATTTTATTTCACGACGGTGCATCGCAGTCTGGACAAGAAGTAAGGTAAAGGAAGATCACAGTGTACATTTCACTTTTTAACGTTATTACCCAATTGTATTATTTTTACGGATTGGATCGGCAATAAAGTTACGGAGTCCGCATAGAATGATACATTTCTTTAAAGAGCGGTTCGCTTGTTAGACAGGAAATAGTATATCTCGGACGTAAAATTGCTTTGCTACGTTTTACGTAATAAAAAAAAAGACGTTAATACTGTTACTCGAGAAATTATTTATAACATTCTCGAAAGTATTAAAATCTTATGTACCGCGTAGGTATCGACTTATCCAAAAGGATCAAGAAAGTTGCTCCCTCCTCGATTAAACAATATTACCTAGTATTACTGCAGCCAGAGTTAGACCAATCGGATAAATTTCCATAGCATTTCCAACAGTCAGTCGTTACATTTCTGAATAACCCTATATATATAATGTAATGATTACGAAAGAAAAATATATGCAAACATGGAGCTCAAGGATTTCTCATAAATATACTCGACGCCGCGAAACGTACAGTGAATAAATAAAAGTTTATTCTCGGAACGAAAGCACTGATCTTCAAAACAGAAAACGCATGATTAAGCAGCTATCTCTTTGATCGGTGAATTTACACGTGTAAGTCGAACGTTACACGGCAATGTCGAACGAGACATTAACGATTAGTATAAGCGATTGCTAGTGAGCAGCGAGTCTTAAGAAAGACGACAATTTCACCTAGATAGTCTGACACGATAAATTCGCGTATAACGAGCACACGAGTAGTATAAAAACGTATCAATAAACTTTCACCATAGGAAGATCCAGCTGATCGTATAAGGTCACGATGATAAAAAAAAGAAGTGACAGACGTCCAGGAATAATAATACCAGCGTTCCTGGTACAACGTATTAACTTGGAAATTGAGAATGTCTATCAGGATATCGAACTCGACGGATTTGTACAGTGGCATACATAAGTGGCATCGGTAAACTTTCTCCGTAAAGGGTTAGCCGCTGGTAGCGTTCACCGATCTTACAAAGAGAGACATTTAAAGGGGGATTATATCCAGGAGTCTTATTGCGCAACACGGCTGTGCGACCTATCGGCGCGTACCTACACACCCACCCAGTAGTTCTTAATAAGAATGCTTGAATTTACGACGTATCAAATTAATTGGCTAACAAGTCATGACCGACCAACGCTAATAATCGAGTATAGGATGCATTGGTTTTAATAAGAATTTTATTTTCAATTTCAAAGAGCATAACAAAATTTCAGGTAAATATTAAAAATTAAAAAAAAGAGTTATAAAATTACAATACTGCAATACAGGTCGCATAAGATTCATTAAGTATAATAAAAATGAATTTGCATGTATCACCTATTATTTATATACCAATATTACGGTTGATAAAATTAGTACCCTTGGGTATTAAAAGCATAGCATGATAGCAATGTGGTAATATTATAAGTCACGCGTAAGTTGTGAAGGCGATAATTCAAATGGAGCCTTTCCCGCCAATTTTCTACCCTGACGCAGCAGACAGCTGCGAGCCGTCTGGAATTTTCCGGGTAGGGTGAGAAAGACACATTTTAATACTCGATGAAAAAGGGTCAGTAAGATCGTCTGTCCTTCGTGTGCCTTTGAAATGGCAGGAAGTAGCACGAGCAGACGTTTCCTCTTGGAGAACGAAAAGGGATCAGTTGTTTTTTTTTATTTACCTACATTCCTGTTGAACTGGTTGCGGTTGAGTTTAGGAAGTCTGGATCGAAAAACTTGAGGTAAATCAGAGAGACAAGGAGTTTAAGAAAATGCAAACTAAGTAACAACAAAGCAATATGCATTAATAAGATACTCTAGTAATTTAATACAATTTCAAACACCGCGCGCGTGTGACGCGTCAGAGTTTTGGGAATGAGTTGCGACGATTTTTACATATATTTGTACTTCACTCTATTTACTTAATTGTTCAATAGATTCCTGATAAATTTAAAACGCGCAATCAAACGTCGCTTTACAGAGTTTCAGCGCTGATTACAAAGCGACTATAATCTATATTAATTCCCTGCGGTCGAAATACGGGATACTCACAACAGGATACCCATGCCAAAAAGTTTTACGACCGCAAGCAGTTCGTATCACTCGTATAATGTACCCACGTGGCTTGTGAGTTGATTAATTAATTGGTAGTAAGATACGTGATGTAAACGAACCAGTGTACAAAATAATATGTACCCGCGTAAATTTACATTCATTCCCCTGATTTATGCATTGCATGGTGTTGGCCAATTATTCTTTGGCATGAGTGTATAAGAGAGATCCCTAGAACTAGTTCAGTGTAGATGATAGATAATCATATTATGGTATTAGTATCGTCGTGTCAATTATTATTAATTTTGCAAACACTATTTTTTCTCACGTCTAGGGAATATTTTCATAGTCCAATTATGTTGGTCGGCATACGTACATAGATTAGTTTGACAAGAGCTCGTTCACGAGGTAAAATAAATAACGTAATTCGACTACTGTTTCTGGGCATTGTTAATGCTGTAAGAGGTTCGGAAACATTTTGAGAAATTATCTTCTTTTTGCTTACAAAATTCGAGACTGGAATTTATAACCGTGATCAGTCAAAGACACTATTAACTTATTGATGTAAAGTGTGTAAAGCTGAGAAAATTAAAAATATGCTACGTTCGGGTGAATGGTGAATCGATTTTTATATATTGATTGCTAAAAAAAACTTGGAAAGGAACACAACGCTATAGGAGCGACGGAGCAAGGAAAAACATAGCACTTTAGTGTAATCGGGCAAGAAACAAGTATCTTATAAGAGTGTCTGGTGAGAGAGTGTGTACCTTGACCTAGGCGGTATCCGTCTCGTTTCACGGCAAGAGAAAGAGGAGAGGTTGACGGAGAAGGGCGAGAAGGATGGAATGGAAGAGGATGAATAGCAGGAAAAGGAGTACGACGGAATACCGAGGTCCAAGGGGAAAGGCTGAGGAGGCCATACTGGTGTCTCTTAATAAGTAAAATACAAAATAGTATAGACGCGTGATGTGTATTTGCCCGTCGACGCGGGACGAGGGGTAAGGGCAGCAGTAGCAAGAGCACCAGCAGGCCGGCTGTTTCTTGGGACCCTCTCGCTCTGGCAAGAACAAGCAACCGAACAAGCAAGAAAGTAAGGAAGGAAAAGGCAGCTGCTGCTACAAACTGGGAAACGATTTGTTACCGTTGCAGCCGCCCGTCGCCCAACGTCCGTCGGTTCGACGACATTGCGTTGCTCTAGACGTAAGACGAGGATGTTACTAACATGTCAGTTTTTTATGGCTCGAGAGACATGGACAGCTACGGGTAATCGAACGCTTAGCCGGCCTCTCGCTTCTGCCCCCCTCGTTATTTAGCCGGAGGAGACTTTCTGAATGGCGAGAATGATATGAGCTGTCGAGCGGGAGCCGTCGGTAGCCATTTTGCCCGGCCTTTACGATTTCCCTCGTTTCCTCCGAAAATTTGGTTTTCTAGTAAACTTGTCGCTCTATTAAGGAAAAATAATTAATTTTTTTAATACTTTTTGAAAGAACGTTGCACGACACGGGAACGATGTCGCGTAAACGTTATTACCAAACTGCGAACGTAGCGATTGATAAGTAAACTTTTTTCCACTTTTCAATGAGGTGTTTCTTTTTACCGACAGACTTTGAGCGGGACGCGGCAGAAAAGTAGATGTCTAGATGTTTCAAGTATACGCAAACGGAACAATTAGCGCAATGATTTGATGTGGACTGACCTCACTGTTCTCGAAGCCCGTCGGTCAGCCATCTTGGCTAAAGTCTCGGTATTACTCTTTCCATGTATTTTCCCGCTTTATACCGGAGCCATGACGCAAAGTGTCGTGACCAGTGCAAAGAAACAAGTCTGACCCAAGAACAGGTAGTAGCTTTATAACGAAAAAGTGTTGCGAGCAGAAAATAAATATGACAAAAGTCAATGGGAACGGAGAGCGTACGGGTTCAACGAGTAAGCCGAGCCGTCCGTATGCGTCGGGCGGAAAAAAGCGGGTTCTGCCATGTCTTACTCTTCGTTTCTAATATGTATTACCTTTTAGGTGAGTTCCATGTATAATCCTCGAGGTCGTAGTCGAAGAAAGCGTCGCGGTCACTATGTCGCGATCACTAATTATTTCGTTAAAACGGCGTCACATTTCACAAATCAACAAAGGTTACCACTTGACAAAGATGGCCGTAAGGCTACTGCGCACGCGGTGGGGGCGCTGCGCGTCACTCGGCGGATTCTCGAAACCCATGCCTGCTTGCTCGCTTGCCTGTTCGCCTGCTTGCTTACTTGCTTCCTTGGCTGCCTGTCTGTCTGTCTAGCCCTCTGCTTGTCCGTGAGTCTCCTCGGCACTGTCACACACTAGCACACACTGTTGCTGGCCAACCAAATGCCTCGCACGCACAATACGTCGCACTACGTCGTCGTCGCTGTTGTCGATTACTATGTGCCGCGCAATGAACCGGCCGGACGGACTCGATCGAGAAGAAACCGGGGCAGACAAACGATGCACGCCCTCGGTTTATTTTGTGTTGCAATCTCGTAAACGAACCTTCCTCCACACGACTAACATTCAATAAATCATTTTCAAACTGTTATCTTGTCTATGAATTGACACGCGTTGTCTAAGGATTTCTTAATGAGATTATTGATTTTTTTTAATACAGTCAGACCAAACGGCTATCCGCCATCAACCTCCTCTCTCTACTAGACACCACGCTGCACTGCCTGCCACATTACGTTATTGCTCTCTCTCTGTCTCTCTCTCACTCTCTCTCTCTCTTGGCTTCTTTTACCCCCATTTCGCTCCGCTTATATCTCTCAACATATACACTTCCCCTTCGTTGTCCACGCTCTGGTCTTTTCTCTTTTTTTCTCTGTTTGTCCCTTTACTTTCTGAACGATACACAGAGGGACACGTCTTCTTACACGGTTTTACTGAACTTCATCACGCCAATCCACTCTTCTGTATTGAATTGACATGCGTTCTTCACAATTTACTCGTGAGATTATTGATTTTTTAATGTGCTGCTGTTCCCGGTGTGCCATACGATAACAGACTGTGCGACGTGCTAACCGGCATCGCTGTAACTGTCATTTTATTCCGTTGTAAACTGCGTCTACGCTCGACTCTCGATGATTCAATTTTCGTTCATTCACTCGGACGTTTGACGTCAAAAGTCTTTTGATAATTATTCAAGAATTACGTAATAAATTGTATCGATATATTTTTACGCTTTAATGTAATAAGCTTGTCAATAAAAACTTGGTATAATAAAAAATTTGTATTGGAGTATGAATGACAAGGTACTCCTAAAATATTCATTTTTGAATTCACGTAAGCACGAATTTCATCGTATGGTATGGAAATACGTAATTAAAATATAAATGAAAATACTTGCTTTTAAAAACGAAAGGAAACCCTCTTCATAATATAGTATTATATCAAATTGGAACGTAAAAGAAATAAGAAGCTTTAATTAAGTAGAGCCGTTGAATCATTTGCTAAATTACACGTCCCAGATTCATGTAATGCCTCAATTATGCGTAAGCACCATCGAAATTGTCTCCTGCCATATAAAACCCCTCGTAACGTTCCCAACTGACGAATTATGCCTTAAATTGTCAACTGTTACTTTATATAAATTTTGTATGCATATTTTTGTAATGCGCTTATTAAGCATAATGCAAGCTTACACAAACGATTTAAGGCTGCTGTCTGGCTGGAAAAAGTTTCGGTGTTGACTCGAGCGTTGACTAGTGGCGAAAGTACGAAGCTCCGACAGGGGCGTCATGGCTGCAATATTTGGGGGTTCCTTCGCAAAGGGTGCCAGGCACCTCACAAAATTTTCAAGAAATTGTTTTTTTATTATATTGTGTGCGTTCAGTACTTCGACTCCATTACTTTTCTTATCATGTTGCTTTTATAGTAAAGAGAATTCCATCATTTTTCATTTCCGCTCTAAAAATCTTGTTTGTTATAATTACTGGTAGCTAAACACTGATATTTACATTCAAAAGTGCAATTTTTTATGTACATACGAATTCACAAAACTTCAAAGTCGACTTTCTTGAGAATTTTTGAATATGACATAGACCTGCTTTGGGAAATTACGATTCGAATTCTCAACTTCACGTACCATGAGTAAAAAAGATTACAAAAATCCGATTGTTGGAGACTCTCCTTGTAAAAAATATTCTAATATTCCGTTACGTTTGCGATATTAGTCTTTGCGACAGTCTATGCTAATTATTAAAAAAATAATAATATAATGCATACAGATTGTAGAAAGTTTTGGTACTAAGCTCAAAAAGTTATATTTAATTTGTTATTCACAATTTAATTGTCTAAACGACTAACGAGTGACTGACTAATAATAGGAATCTCGTATTAGGCGTTAAATGTTCTTACATTGAAAAGCATAAAATATAATCTTATCAACCGAAGTTCGTCGTTTAAACAATTAAATTGTTAATAACAAATAAAATACAACTTTTTCAGCTTGATACCAACATTTTCTGAAAACTGTAAGTACTATTACTTTTTAAATAGCTACCTCGTGGACGGCTAACAAGACAATGGCGTAAAGAATATATATATATATATAGCGAGTCGAGCCAAGCGTCTAGGCTGGCTTAGCTCTTCGCCAGCAAACTTGGCTACACACATATACTATATGTGTGTGTAGTTTTGACACAACGGTACTATGCTACGGGCCCCGCAAATCGCTCACGTTACTGAGATCTACGGCGAGAAACAGCTATCGCCATCTATTGGATTCTCAAGATAGTAAAATACGGGCCGAATCTAATTTGCCGTTTTTTGCGTTTGTCAAACAGTTATTGACAAAATTATTAGATCAGCCCGCTTTGTATCGTCCATAGCAAGGCGGATCTTCTCGATTAAAGTGTGACGAGTGTCCTGATTCGCAGAAAAATGGGATTTAGTGAACGGTCGTAATGGCGGCGCCCATGAT